TTTTTACGTTAAAATAGTGGAAAAGCTAAATCTAGTCTATTTAATGAATTTGTAATTTATAGTTGTAAGGTAATTTGAATTTTGAAAATAGTATTTAAACCTTCAAGTTTTTTTAATTCTACAAAGATATATATTAATATAAAGTACAGATGTACTGCCGGAACCAAGGCGAAAACGCAGAAATAAAATTAATGCGACTGCTTGTTTATTTATTTATTTATGTATAAATGACAGTTATTTGTGCTCCATCGAGTCAAAAAAAACCGAATTCTCGGGCTCTCAATCAGGAGTGATCGCAGACATGTTACATAGTAGCTTTTAATTGAAAAGCTGTCATTACTTTCTTGACATTTATATAAAAACTAGCACCAATGCGCGTCACCCACCAGCAGGTGGTTAGTGCCTGGCTAGAATGTCGTAAAGGGCATAGGCATTATGTTGGAAGATGACACCAAATGGGTCCAGCTGCAAGTCCCGGTGAAGAACTTCATTTCGCACACCTGTAGTGCCGACTCTATTGCAGTGAACTCGTAGGTCCAAGCTGCAGTACAAAGATTACTAATAAAATTTTATATAAATTTAATTTTTCTCATTCTTCAAAAACGGCAATCTTAGAAAATGTCTTAATATCTCCACATTTAGTAAAAAATTTGTTTTACATAGCAAATATTGCATGCGTAATTTTCTTTTTCCACAATATGCTTGTTGTTGTTTATGTGATGCTAAGTGTCGAGCGTGTATTTATAGATTTTTTTTTTTTAAACAGCGCATCTCTTGTAAATTTTACCGACAGAAACTTTACTTAAATGCTTGTAACCTTGTTATTATAATAACACTTTTAATAAATCATCAAGTCCCAATTTTTTTGTCAAATGCTCTTACATCTTTATTATACTATCAGTTACTTTGTTGAAGTATTATAAAAACCTATCCATAATTGCGCATAATAAAATAAACTGGTTAATTTTTTAAGATTATATTGTAATCGTCAAACGTAAGTAAGGCTGGAGGTCAAACTCCATCCTTTTCTTAACTTCTTTTGTCTTTGCTGATAGGATTTAACACTTTAACTAAGGCATTAGCTCCGATCGATAACGCTTCCATCTAAATAGACCAATTCGACCAGTCTTCTTTATACTTCAACCTTTCATAGGAGTGCCAACTGTCTTAAAAAAAAGATTAAAGTATATTAACTGTTATAGGTATTTGTATATTAATAATATTACGCTTTTAGTTATTAGAGTCTCTCAAGGATATAAAAAGTTGGCATAGGAGAGTAAAAAAATTCAACTATCTTAGTTTATTTTTTTTTTCATTGGAATGCTACTCCCTGAACTAAAAAACATTTAACGGTTAATCGGTATTTGAATATCTTTAAAGATTTGATGCGTAAGTGTTCACTAGTAGCACTTCTCATGAAGGAAATCAAAACTTTCTTTATGGATTGAGGGGTTGCGGAGAAATACATATTGGTTCCAGTCGTCCACCTTTCTGTCTAAATTGTTAAAAATCGCTAAAACCCCCTCCAGAAAAGGTGGCCCTCCGCACTTAAGAATTGCTGAAGACAAGAGCTTGCGTTACGGTCGTAAAGGGCTCCACAGCTAGATGTATGTAAATATTATAAATTAAAAAAATTGAAGGTACTATATCAAAATTTTTTTGTGTGAAGAAATGTATAAAAGAAGTATATTAAAATCTTTTATTGACCAGTTTCGGTCTGTATTTTACTTTTACAAAAGGTTGAAATACTCTTCCATATATGTACAGTAACTTTAATTGAATCAGATTAAAATTTTACTTTGTTTAGTTTGTATCAAATTAGTAAGGGATGTCAAAGAACATTTTTTGTTGAAATTTAATTTTTCTTTTCTTGTATTTTTATTGGCTGTTTCTCGGGTTTCTGATTGGATTAATCACGAGAATATTTTCCTCTGAAAATTAAGAGGGTTAGCGTTTTGTGCTTCTGTTTTGTTTTTTGTTTGCGTTCATATTTTTTATGTGTATGTGTTTAATGGTTGTGTACTTTATATTTAATGTATTATAAAATATTTTTTTTGTAATCTACGTTTATTTTTTTTATTATTTGTGTTTTGTGTTTTCATATTTTTATGTTTTCCGTATATTGTCTTTTTGTATCTTGTATTTTAATTATGTCTTAAATGTTGTGTATACTAAGTTATTGTGTTATATTATAATGAAGTTTTTGGGGGCGATAACTTAGTCTTTAGAATTGATCATGACATATGAAAGAGTATACTCTACATGAAAAAAAACGGATACAGCATCTGTGAAAAATTGTTACCCCTCGAATGAGGCAATCTATCAAATTAACTGCAACTCCAATAGAGGACTCCTCATAAGGGTACACGTTCGACACTTCGACCTACCTTTATGAGTCCAATGTATTAAAATTTATATGAAATGTATATAAAATGAGAGTATACCAAGTATAAAAGTTAATGAAATATTTATATATATTAATGTCTTACAACTAAGTAAATAAGAAAATTTATAAAAATAAAATATATATTATCCAAGATACTAAAAATATTAAAGCAAGGAATACTTTTTTTTTGACCGGTAACCAGTCTTAATTTATAGCTTTAGAAGTGGTCAAAAATACTTCCATATATGTATAATAAATTTAATTGAACCAGAGTAGTTTTTATGAAGTTTTACTTTGTTTAGTTTGGGTCCAATTAGTAAAGTGTGTGAAATAATTTGCCATGCGGGAAAAAATATAATTTTCTTTGCGTAGTTTATTGGTTGTTTTACATGTTTTTGATTAGTTCATTCACGGGCAATTTTTCCTGTAATTTACTAGGGGATTCTGTGTATTGTGTTTTGGTATGTTTGTATTTTTAGGTTTTGTGTTTTTTGTATTTTGTGCTTTGCGTTTATGTGTTTTATGTTCAATGTATTTTATACTTAATATATTGTACTATTTATGTTTGTTCCATACTTTACTTGTATGGTCTGTTTCTTTTTATGTTCTTATTTTTTTGTTTTGTATTTTTGCATTTTTTTAAACTTTGTCTTAGGCGTTTTGGTATACTGTGTTATCATATTACAATACTCTTGGGAGGCACGAATTCAACTACCAGAGACAGACAAGTTTGTGGAGTTTTCTAAGCTCGAGAGCGTCTTAAGAAAGAGATAGACTTCTAAAACAGCTGAGCTCGCCGGTGAGTCAAGTTCCAAGAGGGGATTTTGAAATCAAAAAAGAGTCTTAGCGGAAGAAAAAGGGTCGGTCTCGGACCTCTAAATTACCCTAGTTTAGTGACCAAAGAGGATTCTGACAACCAACCTGTCATAAGGGTAAGGGGGGATGTCGAACCGGATTAATCGCACCCAACTGTGGGGGCGTCCACCTCGGAGTAGCGGTTAATTTCGACACATTCTAACTGTCCTAAAGATTTTTTAGCAACACACTTTTAACACAGTCATTAGAATATATGAGGGCGGAGTCTAACACTCAATCATAAAAGTCCGAAAAAGGAAGTCGGATTCACCACCTTAAGTATGCGCTTCAACGCTCTTAACTGCTGAGCTACGACGGCAACCCTCGAGCCCGATATAATGACTTTACGTATTTAACCCTGTTATACTCCCATAGTCCATAAATATTAAAACCTCTTATTTTTTAGTAAGTGATTTAATATTACAAGCCAGGAAAGGAAAGCTTTTAAAGCGGGTAATTTTTCCTACTATAATGAATTTAAATTTCACGCGAGAGCCTCTGATAATAAGGATGATTAACAAGAAAACAAGAGGACTGTTAATAAAATTAACAAAAATCCTCTTATTATTTATCTTTTATAACGCTAAGCTACAGCCCAGGCCCCACGTTTTCGGGGCTTTATATGCTGCGTAATTCAATATGTTTGAAATTCGAATGGTTACCCCCGCTGAAATTCTTAAGGCTCAACTATACTAATTTTGTCTTCCTTACTCTTTTTTTTCATTTACAAAGAATAAACATAAATACTACTGGAAAATCCTTAGTTATAACCGATAATCTGGGTTACCCTTATGTTTATGGGTTAAATATTTCCAACATTTAAAATTACATCTATAATAAGCTTAATTATATCTATTAACGGTTCTACTATTTATAATTAGCCGACGCCAATGTCATTAATACTTTTATAAAAATTGTTTGGACTACTGTAGGTTTAGGTTAGGGTGATGCTTCGAAAATAAAATGAACTAATATAAAAGATTACAAATTTTGAAAATTATTTCACCGTCTATACAATTTTTGCTAACTCGAAATTAAAAAAAGTAATTTGAAATGGAACTAAGCGTAATATTGTAGTACGGGACTTTTAAAAAGAAATGTAATGAGCTAAGATATTCACACCTGCTTCAAAAACTGAAAATTAATGCTATACTACCATTACGTTTATTTATATACTAATAATTTGATACCCACTACGTTAAGTTTGAAGTAATTTACCAGTTGTTAAAATGTACAACTACTCTATAGGTAGAGAGGAGGGTTAAAAAAATAATTGACTAAAGTGAAAAACGAGGACCCCAATGCATAAACTTGGCGTTTCACAATGACTCGAGAAGTACATAAAATGATGGAAGCGAACACTGTAAACTGTCTTTTTAACGAAGTACAACTAACGTTTACTAAATAAAAATTAGTACATATATTAGAAAGGATACTAAATAAAAAAATACTGTTGTGTTTCTCATATAATAATTGAAATACTTGTAACTTAGTGTGCTATTCGCCCGATGTTGTAGGACGACTCAAATAGTCAAAGTAAAATTATATTTACAAATAAACCTTAAAAAAATTAATTAAATATTTAAAAGTAAACTTTTTGGGCGTACTTGGGTAAAGTTTTCTCTTAAAAAGTTTAAGAATTGTATATACTTTTGTTACTTAAACTATTTTTTCAAAAGTAGGGTTTACTCTAAACCTGGCGACCGCACTGTTGCGTGTTTCTTCTGAAGGGGTCGTTTTTAGAAATCTTTTTATAAAGTATGAATGATTATGAATACTTACAACAAAATTACCAACCCTTGCTATATATAACACACTCAGCGAAATTGTTAAATTTGTATGTTTATTATCTGTTTTCAATGTTTTTTTTGGTATTTAAGGATTATGGTTTTATTTTAGACCACAAGAAACTATCTGCGTCGCTAAAGCTCTTTTTCATAAGTTCTATGCCGCCCGAAATATTTACGTTTTTGATCCTTACGTAAATTTTTTAAAATTATAGTTATGATATTTTTTACTAAAAAAATATTTCTTATTTTTTTATCACTATCGCGGTTGACAATATTATTTGTGACTGCCTTAACGCTTAATTTTAGCCTGCATCTGGTTATGCACTGGCTTTTCTATTTATTGAATTTGTCATTTTCCGGTATTGGCAAATATTAAAGTTTACCCATATTAAATTTTATTTAAAGATCGAGCTATTATTAATTATTACCCATTGTTCTTATTTAATTCTATATTGTGGGTGTGAACAGCTGGTTGGAATGACTTCGCTTTACCTGGCGAGTAAAATCAAAGAGGACCTTTGCAAAATCAGAGATGTAATCACAACTTGTTTTAGGTTAGTCACTATTATATACTTCTGTTTTTTTATTTTATTATTTTATAAAATGTAAAACAAAAAAAAGTGCTACTTTTATACATCCATTTATTGTTTTCATAGTGATTCTGTTTCCAGTTTGGTGTGACTATTTTTTACTTTTTTAAATGACTTAAATTTTTTTTTTACAAAAAAGAGTTTTTTGTAAACAGAATTTATACTTTAATTCGGTTGCTAAACGATATTTGTAGCATCCCCCCCCCAAAATCTTTTCTTGTATTTTTCCGGGTAGTTTTGATGTACAGGGATTTAATTCAATAACTCTCTGAACAATTGAATTAAATTGGTTTTAGAATAAATTAAAAAGAAAAATTATTTTTTCTAGTTTTTTTATAAATCTATATATCTATTACTTATTTTTGATTTGAAAATATTTAAAAATTATCAACTTGCTCTTGTTTTTTTTGTTTTGATTTTTTCTACTAACGTTACTTTTAATTAAAACTCTATCTCTTCATAACTTCTTATTAATTTTTTTGATTTATACTTGTCCTAAAAATTTTATAATATATCAACTACTCTATTGTGAAACAAAGGCTTCTAGTTAATTTTTAAATTAGATTTTATTATTGAGTTTGAGAATTTATTGTTAAATTTTTATTAAACTATGCCACAAATTTACTTTTTTAAAATATATCAAGTATTTCTAGTTTTAATAATATCAAAAAATAAATTTATTTTGTGGCTTCATTATATTCTTCATTTGGTAATATTGTTAAGGAAACTTTTATAAAGGTTTTTGTTTAAAATATATTTTTTAGAGTTCTCCACCCCGAAGTGCCGTTTCTCAAGATTGGAACGGTTTTTATTTATAATTACTGATACGTTTTGGTATTAACTTAAATTAAAAAAAAAAATAAACAATTGTATTTATAACTTGTTAAAGCGTATTGGTGAAGTCCTTATTTCAGTATCAATTGCTCTATTAATTGTTTAATTGGCCCTGGTTGTTTTATCTCCACCAATCTTATCTACCCTTACTTCTGTTCTGAAGGAGTATTGGCTACTTCGTGAGAGCGTTGTCAAGTGTGAAATGATACTGCTCCGCACTCTCAACTTTGAAATCTGCTTTGATTTGCCTTTCGCCTACTTCTTCAATTTCTGCATCTCCATTGTTTCTTCTGGTTTACTTTTTATTTTTTTAAAAGAATTTAGTATGAGAATTCTTTACTTAACTAGAATATCTAATTAGAGCGTTTTTATTTTTTCTTCTGAGCGCTGCATGACCCTTGCATTCGTTTCTTTTACTTGTCATGCTTCTGTGCAGTCGTCAACGCCGAAAAATGGATTGTGTCAGTGGCGCAGCTCGGATGGATGCTTCTTAATGATTGGTTTTTTTTTTACTTTCGCTCTGTAACCCATCCTGAATCCTTTTAAATGATCTACTTATAATATTATTACAGCTTCTATGTCAGACTGTGTACCAGTTATTCAGCCTTTGAAATATCCGGCGGCTGCCTTTTCTTTGCACTCGAAGTTCTAAACTTGACCTCCGAATGCGTTATCACGAAAAACGGTTCTGCTGGCAGTAAACGTAGTTGCATCACAAAATATTATTATAATTCACAATAGAGCCGAAATTCGAGCTCTACACTATATTCGATTTTTTTTCTCTAAGCGAAAGTACCTGCAAAGGTAGACTTACAAGTTGCTAGTTAAGGAACTTTGCTGATGCGCTTGTATTGCTTGCGATGTTTGCCAACTAGCAATATGCGCCTCATTATTGATCCTCTATGAAACGCAAGACCGCCTGTCGACCCAATAAACTCGCCTTACACAAAGTACACCGTTATAATATGTTTATGAGGCCCCCACGTGCCGACTTCACGTGTTTATCACCCCGACTGCGGAGTTTTGTGAGGGTCGTATTGAAGAGTTTTGCTAATAAATTGTGTTGTCGGGCTATTATTATTAATTATTATCTGCTGTCTAAGTGAGTTTTCTACTTTACTATTACTTACCTTAATTATGATAGTGAGCCATACAAACATATACTAGTGCATCATTGAAGGGGCCCATGCATTGTTGTACAATTTTTAAAACTAAGTAGACCTTGTCGCTGGGGTTGGTATTTATATATCCGAAAGCACGAGTAGTAGTTCTTTAATGTTTGACACACTTAAATTCTCATCTAAACTTTTTTTTCCCGATTTAAAAAAAAATTTTAACTTTTACTATTTCTAATAAAGCTATTTTAACCTGAAAGTGATTAAACCGATATATCACTGATTATGCATTTTAAAATAATTTGTTAAATTAATAACAGCTGAAGTGCTCCCTTCTTATTAGCTACAGTCACGTCTTAAATCTTTAGGTATAGAACAGCTGGAAGAAAATCACTTTTCTACAAGACAACGGATATATATATTCTACTTGCTCTGCTGGAATCCTTTTTTTTAGCGCCCTTGCCTTCTCTTTTTTATGTTTAAAAAATCTTTTATTTACAGTGAGGTTTAGAACATTTATACCTTATTAAGCTTGAGTCCCATTTTATATGAGCGACCCTTAGTGTAACAACAGAACTAGTATTTTACGCCCCGTTTGAGTGAACTGTGATATAACTTGATTCTTCGGCTTAAATCAAATTTGGAAAAATGTAAAAAAGAAAAGTTAAGTGTTTTAGAACTCGCAAAGAGTAAATTAATCGTTAAAACTTTAGGTTCAAAGGGCTTAAAGTCTCATATCTCCTCACTATAGGAGGCTTTGAACGAGAAAAAAAAACTTTAAAAGCTCCTTAAAAATATTCGCAACAAAGAAGTACAATCAGGCTGTATAGTTACTTCCAAATTTGTTATAAATTAAGGGTGCTCGTTATTTATAGAGTTTTACGACGCTATTAATACTTTTAACAAACAAATAATAGTACCTTAGGATTTATAAAACCCATAATAACAGTTTAAAAACATGCAGCTATAAACACTAAAACTGAAGTATTCTTTCCTCTACCACTATATAATTTTTAAGTGGCATTCTGGCGTTATTATTTTATACCATATAATACAAACTCTATAATTAACGGTAATGTAGAGGTCATAGTACTGTAAAAGTAGAAGATAAATTTAAATAGCTAAAGTTTAATAATTTATTGAGTAAAAAGAAGTCTGTCTGAGGTAGTTAGCGAAGTGAGGCTACACTTTTTTTAACTATGGGTGGTGGCCGGAAGTATACTCTAAACTTTTGTTTTTGCGTTATGTTAACCATGTGCGTTTTACTAAACTGACTTTAATGGTAAAACATAAGATAACACAGTTTCTTAAGCGATTAAAACCTTTCCGGTGTAGTGCTTGTAAATTTAAAAAAAATTTTCTAGTCTACCTTCCTTTCATTATGTATAATAGGTGGCTATAGTTAAATTATAAGGATTACGCAAATTAGGGGGTTAGAATAACAATTGTCGAAGTGTCGACCAAGTACGTCTGAAGCTTAAAACGGTTTAAAGACCAGTCTGGTTGTGAGGTGCAATAATTATTAAGCACGATTAAGAGAGCCAATGTCTGTAAAAGTATGACCTTAAAGGGATGTGCTAAAAATGCAAAAAGACTTACGTATGTATGGTGTATGCAGTTACGTGCTTTTCTGAGAGAAAGATCTCTCAGATGTAGTGCGAATCGTTTCAATAAAAAAGATCGATTCTGCACAAGTTTTTTCTGTTAGTTATTTTAGAGGAGATATAGTTAAATAAAAGAATAGAAATAAGAAAATTTAAGAGTTTACACCACGCTGAAAATAGTTGTTAAATTTATTAGTCGATGTTTCCTAGGTATTTGATCGGGTTACAAACACCAAGTTCTCGAACAGGTTAGTAGGATACAATATATGACCGACTTACGTTTTTCAATACCGAACGTGCTACAACTCAGGCCTTAGAGACTTTAAGGCCTTAAATATACAGCTCGACCTAATATTTATATGACATAAGAGTTGCAACCATTGAGAAATTCAAAGCTTAATTACAAGATGAACCATCTAATGTATTTTTATATAAATTAAACATTAATAAAAGGCTATATACTAGAGGCTTTACGATAATGTACCATCATATTAAGGTAGTGACAAAAAAGATGCCGACTGTATGCAGCTTAGTATAGAAGATACAAACTGCTATTTTTTTGGTTTTTTTTTTTTTACCGAGTAATTTCGTGACAAAGTCTATTTTTTGAGTAGACATTTTAATAAACAAAAAGAATGGTAACATTTGGAGGTTCCTTGAGGTGAATGTACCTATCAGTAAATGATTTATGACCCCCTCTATGTGGAATGTCCTCTTTTCGGCGTGGTGAGAAACTTGTCAAGGCAGCATACAGCACGAAAGCATTTGTGCCTTGCAGATTGTCGTTTTAATGCTTAAGTTTGTTTAACTTTCTGTGTTGAGAAGAGGATTAAGAATGACTAGCAGGGACAGCGCAGTAAGGAATACTAAAACATGCTTATTTTTACTTTGCTATGTAGTAGTTTGACGTAATGTTTTCATATTAAAATCATCTCTTTATAAAAACTTTAATTATGTCATAGCTAGTTTAAGTAAAAAAAAACATTAGTTACAACCTATTTCGAAATTCTTTCTAACTCAACTTTTATTTGTTAAAAATGAAAACTATCAGATTTTTCTGCTTCTTTATCGTACTATTCACGATTTGTATTAGTTAAATAAACTTAAATTAAAGATTAGAAACTTGAAAACCGAATTTAAAGACCTTGAAGAAATTGAATTTGGTTATACTTTCAGACTAGTAATGCCTGACAATTCTCATTATTTGCAACTGTAAATATTAGTTCTTTAATTTATTTTATAAGTTTAATTTTTTTATAGTTGCTTATAACTTAGCTTTTACTATCCTTTTATCACTAAATATATTGCTAGTACTTAATTTTTCTTAATCTTTTTCTTTGTAATTCCCTTAATCAAAAGTAATAAGTGATTGAGTGTTGCGCAAACTTAAACTATATTTTTTTAGGCGGCCTGTATATTGCAGTGTCTATTAATATTACAGCTACCTTTTCATAAAATTTATTAGTTATCTTCCACCTTCTTTTCCTGAAAAACATGCTCCTGAACTTAAGATGTTACCTTCCATTCCTGTGCGTTTAAAATTTTCATCTATCTAGTATTATTAATAAATGTATTAAAAATAAAATATAAATATTTATAAACAGGCTTAAAAGGACATAATTGTAATTTATATAGTTATAAAAGTTAATTTTTTTTTCAAGGGGGGCATTCGAGGTTTAATTGACGAACGTGGAAATGTTATCAGCCGTTGCAGTAACACTAAATCATTGATTGGTTTAATAAAAGAATTGATTTCAATATTTGCCTCGAGAACTTTTGTGTAAGATTTACTAAGTAACTTTGATCTGCGTTTAGTGCAGTTGAGTAAGGCTTGCTTACAAATTATATAAAATTATTGTTGCTTTAACATCTTAAAGTTACTGCATTCTGCATGACATAACATGTTTATGCAGCGACAACTCCGCTTCCGACTTGAATTCCTACGAACTAAAGTTCCCGATCTCCCACTTGAAGTCTTTTCTTTCAATTAGATATTATTTATAAAAGGTTCTCTCTTTAAACCTCTATATTAACTAGTGAAAAAGAGCTCGAAGTACTTTTAAACGACGAGCATAAGTTTATGGAGTTCTGTCTTGCTCTTCCACAACTGCGGGACGGCGCCACCGTTTTGCGCGAGTTAAAAGAATCCAACGAGGCTCTTGCACGTAAGTGACCCGCACCTAATGTGTCACGTGCAATAACACAAACGCACCATTAAAACTGACCCTGCGCGTGCTTGAGTAATATCCTCATCAGCACGTGCATTGACTCATGTGCTTCTCTCCAGGAAAAAATTTAGAAAAGGAAGAAGTTATCGAGCAGACGAGGGCGCAACTTTTTGCTATCCATGAACAGCTTGAAAAGCAGAAGGAGAGTTATGAGGATGTTTACGAACAAGTCCAGGCGGTGATCAAGGCATTTCCTTTTCCCGATTATTAATAAAGTCTATTGGCAATATTATTCGCCTGTAGGAAAGAAATCCCAAAATATTATTAAAAGAGTTCAAAGAGTTCGTTGACCAGACAGAAAGAGAATCCGACGTTCTTTTTTACTTATTATTATTATTACATATCCGTATATTCTTTATGAACCTTAATTTTGGTTTGTAGCACAGATTATCACTAATTTTGATTCTTATTATCCCGCTTTACTTGCTTTCTTTAAGTCGTGTTTATGTTAATTTATTTTCTAACTTGTTATACTTGCAATTCTATAGAGTATTAAATTTTTGTGTTTTTTTGAATTTCTTTGCCTTCATTATTTTTTAAATAATGCGTAGTAGTTTTTAAATGCTTTTTTAAAACTTTTAAAATAACCTTATAGTATTCGTAACTTTTTCATTAAAGAAATATCTTATTTTACAATTATGTAGGAAGTTTCAACTGAGTTTCTTTCTGGAGATTTGGGTTTTCAGGAATTTATTGATAAATATGAATTAGCTCGGACAATCTATTATCTTCGCTTATTCAAATACGAAAAGTTTAAAGAATATTTAGAATCAAACTCCTGATACCTTCTACCATAATAATAAACTCCATCTTTAGAAAAGATTTGCATGATACCTTTATGTATTTGGGCAATTAATTGCTACAATATTACTGATATTTATGTGACTAATTTTTACTATTACTCTCTGTTAATCGTTTATCATAATAGTAGTATTTATTATTAAAAAAATTTACCTTAACCCTACATGCTTAACAATTGGTTTTCTGTCTTGATATAATCGACAAGTCCTTCAATTCGTTTACAACTATTTACTTAAGCCACCCGTGGTAGTTTCAGAAGTGTGTAAAAGTAAAAATTTTACCGGAGTCTGCCTACCCTTAAAATACATCACTAACAACTATAGTCTGAGGCTTGCTTTGGCTTTAGTTGAAACAACAAGTAGACTCTAGTTAGCATTTTAGCACACAAAGTAAGATAAAACCTCAGGCTATGATTATGGCTTTATAGTCAGCCCTTTGGCAACTGCATAGGTTGGCGATCTTATAGGGATCGTTGACTGTTGGGTCGTGCCTTTTGATCCTTCGCTTTGTATCGTACACCCTGCAGGTCAGTAAGAACTTGCTGGCAACTGCGGTTCCCAGGCACCTGTGAGTACAAGTGGCCCAGAAGGTCCTATAGCCAACATTTTTTTTAAAATAATATAGATGTTTAACGTGTTCTGTGTAGAGGAAGTAATATTTAAGTCATTTGGTAGAGAAATGTTCTGTTAATGTAGGTAGTACTATTAAAGTCTATCCGTGCTCCTTGACCACCGTAATCTAAGCTTTGGCTAACAATTTAGGATCCTTTCTGAGAACCGTGTAGGCTAGATTTACTTTGAGTGGGGGCGACCTGTTAAATTTATTTAACAGAAGCTTCTTATGTTCAAAGAGGTTTAAAATTTTTTTATAGGCGAAAAGCTCTCAAAGTTCAACTAAGAAAGCTCTAATTTAATGGTATTATAACGTTAAACTCCGTGCAGTCGTTGAACAGTTTATAGCTATCTCACACATTCAGAAAGGGCAGCTGCCTGATAGTGACCTCGGGACAAAAATTAAATTTATACGATTCGAGGATAACAATGTAAGCTGACTGGAAAAGTAGTTAGTATTCCATGACAATGCCTTTCAGCTGGTTCATACACGTTCCCAGCAAAGCTCTTAGTTCACTTTATAAGGGGGTTTAGGTCCTCATCACAATGTAATTGGGATAGTCTTGTATACTGAGAAGCCCCTATAAACAATCTTAAAGGGGTTGCTTTGTGTATTAATATTGAAAAACTGGTAGTAAACCCAAACTACTGCTGCGTAACTCTAATATTTTATCAAAGTTAAGTGCCCTGTTTTATAATATGGGGAACATTCAGCATGGGAAACTGTTCAATTTAGTTTACTTGCTGTGACACTAAGGGATATTTAACTGAACTGAAGAAGAGATAAAATTCTAACTACATCCTTTTTTTAAAGAACATGAAGCTCTTCTAAGAGAGTATTAACATTCAGTTTTCATTTTAGTAAAATGGTGGCGTTTTTTTGAGCTACTGTAAATAACAGTGGCATTGGCATACAAGATCAAAGAAGTTTGAGCGATTGGGAAGGCAGAACAGATGTGTAAAAAGAATAAAATTGATGATATTAAAAACTTCAGGAATTTTTTAGTGTTAAGAGTTTATAATTTAATAGTTTGGCTTACACAAGCTATAAAAGATCCATTGCCAAAAATTGACGGGAAATGCCATAGGGTGTCAAACACTCGTAATGCTATTTTCATGTGGATTGGGGGATAAGACTGCTCCTCCCTTGACCCTAAGATTCCTTGATGGTAGAATGGATTCTTCGAATATATTAAACTGAATGCTGATGTAAGGTATTAATAATAGACAACTTTAAAAAGAAGTACAACCACTGCAATTTTTTCTAGCAGAAAAAAGAAAATTATGGGGCTCCAGGTCCTTTGCCTAGTTGATTATTGGGGTGCATTCGATTCAAAAAACAAATTTGGCCTGTTTTCACCTTAATAAAAAATAAATAGGAATAATAATTTAACGCACTGCTAGGTAACTATTTACAGTAAGCAATATATTCAAAGTTTCGTCGAGGCCCACGACTTGATGTTAGGTGTGTTAATAAATTTTTGTTTACAGTATTATTAGGGAAAGCTTTCAAAGTCTTTAGTGGGGTCCGCACAGCGAAGGAAAAGGGAAAATTTGTCCTTGTATGTGCAGTTCATGTTTGCAATATGACGATAATGGTATTGTAACTTGTCAGTAGAAATTCTCGGCTAAGAGGTTGTTCTATTAAAATTTGTGTAGACGACCTTTCCGTAGTTTATTCTCCAGTTTTAAAGCTTCTGTCATTTGTAAATGAATTTTAATGATTATAGTTTAATCTTCCAGTTGTGTAACGAAAAGCTCCCACTTCTCGTTTAACAGTATCCCTAATCTTTTAAAAACTCAATTTAACCAAAGAACCTGTCTTTCCCTGTATTGCTTTTAGACGGTGTCTTTATAGTATAATTATTTAATGTAAAGAAGATCTTAAATTCATATTTGTCAAAGGGGTTGAAAGGTAATCTCATACTTTAAAAACTTGTTGTCAAAGTCTTAGAAGACAAAAGTAGAAAAACAAAGCGGATAGGGGAGGGAACCATAACAAACCAAAAAAGAAATATTTGTAAATTATGACTTAATATATATAGTATGATATTAAAAATATTATATTGTTATAAAAATGTTTATTAACAACTGTCAACAAGAACAAGGAGTTGTAAAGCGATGGCACTGAGGTTGCAAACTGTAAGCTGTAGCTTTATTTGAAAGGCGCTCTGCAAAGTATCGTTCCACACAGACTACGGCGCGTCCCTCAAAATACTTTTTTTTAGCAGTTTGTTTGTCCCGTTTGTTATTTCCAACGCGGCGTAAGCTAAGGTACTTAATGGAAATGTCATATTGGCCAAATACATACTTGTTCGATTTTAGCGCAAGGTAAGTTTGCTGTTGCTGCATGACTATTATTATAACTTTAATCCACCACCTAATTCAAGTTTGGCTCCAGAACAACTTTTGATAATATAAAACGTTTTTCTCTCAACGCCGAGGGAAAATGCATTTTTGCTTTCGTCTCTGCTTAATCGAGTGAGAAAAATGCAGGGTCTTATATTGCCCTTCCTTGCAGATAAGGCCTCTCGTGCATAATCGCCTTCTAGAGACTCTGTAAAGCTGCCCTTGGCCGCATTGTAAGGCGCTGAGAATAGGTTTATCAGCCTGTATTTGACTGAGCGCCGACTGCAAGTTGAGATGAGATTCGTCGTTTTCATCTACAGGAAAGGCACCGAGGTCATTACTGAGGAAAGAAACCGCACAGATGAACGTAACTGTGTGTTTATAATGCCACTGAGGTTTAGAGGCTTTTAGCCTCGTATTGATGATCGCCTTAATTTGTTCTGATACGACCAGCGCAAGCGAATCATCTCTTCTAGCTTAAAGAAACTCGGCTCGCGGAGCTGTTTATGACAGTTGAAAGTCAAAGGGGTTGTACTGGGCAAGGAATCAGCGGACAAAAAAATGTCGCTTTGTTTTCAGCGCTATCGGCTGCATTACCGTCGTTGCACAACGGCGATCTTAAAAATTGACTGAAATTCCTAATTTGCTTGACAAAATTTTAGGAGGCGCGACAGCTGATGTTTAAACTACTTGAATTTGGAAGGAAAAGGATGAATATACTTTTTTAATCATAATAATATCAATTCTTATTTTACCATCCATCTAGTAAAATTTTATTATAGAACGAATAACATTACTAGTAACTTTAAAAATGCCACTAGTAATAGTGACAGTTATATTAACAAAGTCCGTATATATACTATTAATGAAAATTATTGATGCTACATTAGTAGATATTATAGTAATGATAAAATTTATTTGTAATAACTATAATAGTGAACTTATTTGTAGAACAAATAGTGAAAACAGTGACGGCAGTAATAAATTTTATTAATAATGACAAAAACTCCAGTTTTAAATTACATTATTAAAAATTTAAAGTTTGTAGAGACTAACATGTGTCCTTGATAGTTTAGCAAGGGAGCTTAAATGCACTGGAAAATATGCTATTAAAATTTTTTTTTACAAATAGTTCTTCAATCTCCAAAAGGAGCAAAAGAAGGCAATATATAATTTATCTCTGTTAACCGTGACCACGACTAATTCTCATGCTTCCTATATAAGAATAAGACCTAACCAGGAATTTTGACTACTACTTTGCTGTGCTTGCTCGAGACTGTGAAAAACCTTGAAGCTATCGGCAACATTTCTTATTTTAAAAACGTTAATTGGTGTAGGGTTAAGGGTTAGGGTTATATATGGAACTGTAATGCAATCCAATGCAAATTCTAAATTGGAATTTAAAAGGCAGTTTACAATTTGGAACAATAAGGTCTTGGGTATTTTAGAGGATATCCTTAGTGTGTCTGCACCTATCTACTAGTCTCTTGGTGAAGTGGATTATTTCTATCTTGATCTCTGTACATATCCGTTTATATCTTTTAATCTTTAATTATTAATAAAATTTATACTTTTAATTGCTCTACAAGCATTTTTTAACAGTTAACAGCCAAGGCCCAGTGAAGGCTCAAATCTAAATGTGATCTGGGACCTAAAAAATCATCGGATTGGTCTTTTTGTTCTTCTTACAGATTTTTTGTTAGTTTATTTCAATGGAAACATTAAGCTTATAGTTTTTAAAAAATTCTTTTAACTTTTCGACTTTAATATGACCCAAAATATCATGCCATTCGAGTATTGAACTCATGGCATGGTTCTCATTTATATAAAAGCAACAATTAATGACTGTCCCTTCAGAGTCAAAAATTACAACATTATCCTATCACATATTAAGCTAACCCTGACCAAATTTTTCAAAACTTTAGGTACGTGCTGTGCTTTTCCATCTAGGTACTGTGCGGTAACATGGGCTTTTAGTGACTCATTTATCACTAATATGTTTCAGATGATTGTAAGTAGGGCCTAATATACATATTGTTAAAAACGAGGCAGCTGCCACCAGAGTCAAGGCTGGTCCGAGCACTAGACATCGAGAGTTGGTTTAGTGTATACTCCTCTTTCTTGGCAATGATCCGACGCGATAACACATTTATAAATTCTTTCAAACTCTTGTTCTTTTTAAACATATCTTGAAGTTATGGTTATTTCTTGTACAACAGCTGCAAAACTTTTCATTATTATATTTATAACACCGGGCTCTACGATGATTGGGTTTACTAGTGCTTACATGAATCGGTCCTGATTTAATTATTGTAAAGAAAAATTTGTTTTCGGCTTAAGGGAAAGCTTATTCATTTTTAGTGCTAGCTCCGTTGTATTTACTTGAGACTGTTTCATCGTCACCTCCAAAGAGATAACAGCTTTACCTACATCAGATAGCATTAGTCTGTCATTAGATCAATTTCTTTTTAAAATAACATTCTTCCTACAATTGGTCTACACTACATCAAAAAGGAAGGGACCAAGGGCCTTTTGGTCAGTTATTTTTTGCTTCGGAGTCTTATTGCCCTATCCGCGGGCTCGACATATTAATTCTATCTATTAAGTATTTAATATTTTTATCGTCCCCTTTTCTAATATCAGTCATTCTTCTTTTAAGGGAAAAAACATTCCTTCTGTTATCACATAAAACATGTTGTACAAGCCAGCCCGCAACGCATACGAGTTCAACTTAGCTCCAGTTAAGTGAGCTCCGAGGACTTCTCTGGCTATATTTATCAAAGTGGGGTCAATGGTTGAGGTAATAGTTGCCATGCAAAGGCAAGTTTGCTTCCATTATTGCTCTTTATATCAGTAACGGCCTCAATAGCGTCAATGTTTATAAAGTAAGCTTCGATATGAAATACTCAGTCGGGTCAGTCAGCCTCAATCTTTAAAGGTTTAATGTATGAAGTAGAAACTAGGGGCTTTAAGGCCCTATAGACTGAAAAGACGCCACAAGTAAAGAACAAATTATTATTGCTTATACAGGTTGATATGAATATATACATACAATTATGAAAATAATTTTGAAAATAATTTTGATAGATTGGTTCTACCAATTAAAATTAATTAAAACGCTGTCTATCTTATTTAACTGCGCACTGTAACTGGATCATACCTTCAACAAATATTTTATGTTCACCAACTTAATTTGGCACTGTAAATGATAGATTATAAGTTCTAATGAAAACTTACTTTCCAATTTTATGGGGCAAGCCCCTTACACTCCTTTTTTCTTTTTTGAAGCCCCCTAAGTTTAAGAAGGTGAATTACCAGATTTTCTCGCTTTAGTGCTTTATTCATAAACATGTATAGTTTACGATCTTTGCATCTCCACTTCTTTTATAACAATAAAGTAGTACTCGGTTATAATTTATTTATCTAACTAGTGTCATAGCTTTTTTGAACTTGTGAGCTTCTAATTATTTCAAATCTTAAGCAGCAAAGAAAGAGCATATTATATATCTTACTATTTACAAAGAGTCTCTCTACAAAATAATAATCCATCTGCAGTCTACTTTAAGAATATACATTTTTTGATAATATAACTTGACCGAATTTTTATTAATCGTCTGAAAACTTTTTATCTACGCTATCGCAATAAAAATATAAAACCTAAAAGGTAAACAAGACGGTTCTTCATAAGATATTATATTAAATTTCTTTTTTTGAGTCACAAAAAAACTTGTTTAATAAAGTTAAGTATGAGGTGCCCATAATTGCTTAACCAAAAAAAGAATGCTTAAAAATGGTTTTGTCGTTGGCTATAATGAGCACTAATGCATTTTTTACAAAATTTCTACAATATAAAATTATTTGCAAAAATAAATAGCAACCAAAATTTAAAATTTACCCGAATTTCTTTCTATATACTATTATCATGGGAAAAGTAATAAATCGGAAGATATAACGTAATTTTGTTTGTTTACAAAACGTTTTAAAAAAGTTAGCATCAATGTTTATAGGGTGGACAAGTTTCACATCTCTGAAATTAAAATAAGTACAATTTCACTGCGGAAACGTGCTTCTCATCACATAAAGAATAAAACCCGTTGAGCCGAAGCAAATTAATTTTTAATAGTATAAAAAAAATAATTTTATGGTTTATAAATATTAGGATACCTTTGCACTATGGTTTACACTCGTTAAAAATGTAAAAATGTAACTAGAGGCTACTTAAAGATTACATGTTTTAACTTTATCATAAACTAAAGTCATTTTAGGTTTCTTCTTCTTTCAGCTCAACTATTGGGTACTAAAGATTAAAATGTACGAGTTTATCTAATAGGAATCCGTTAAAAATGAGCGGAACTTTTATTAAAATATAAAATCAAAAAAAGATATCATAAACTCTGTTTAGTTTGGTGCATCTTATTCCAAAAAAATCCTATTTTTTTTTATAAAGATGTATAAGTAAGATTATTTTAAATATAATTACAAGATTTTTGCTAACAACTATACTGACATGAAAATATTATTGATAAATATGAGACTGAGTTATTATATACAGTATAATAAAGAAGTCGGTGCGATTGTTTCTTTAAAATATAAGTTATCTGAATACTACAAGAGAATTAGTCTGAATATAGCTCTATAGAAAGAAAAGTTGTTTTAATTAAGTACTTAAGCTATAAATTAGTTTAGTTAACTAGTTAAACTAATAACAGCCTACTACGTATATCTTAGTTATGTGTTTCTCTAAAAAGGACCACATATATTTGTAATTAACTTGTTTGCCACCGGGGTCGCCGAAAATATTCGCTAGTTCCATATGTTAATTTTAATTGAAATGAAGGTTTTCATAATATATTTAAATTAGTGATGTAAAGATAAATCAAAAATATTTGCATACCTTCTTTTCTTAAATTGTATTGTTTATTAAATTCCATAAGTATTTAAGTGAAATAAGGCCCCCTTAGCCCTCCTTAGCTATTTGAACTTTCAGAGCAAATTTAAAAAACTGCAACATTTTATTTAACTATTTGATTAAATAATATTAAATTTTTTCTTGTTAATTAAGGTTAGGCACTTGTAATATATACTTTTTTAAACGATGATCCCTATATTAAAAGCCTCTTTGTTTTGTTTACTTCTTTCACTCTCTTACCACACTTTTTCTATAAGTCTACAAGAGAGCATATATTGCTCGGTTATACTATGCCAGAAGAATCCTCGGTGCTTTGCATTGTATCTTTAATAACTTTAGTGGAAATTTTTGGTTGTATTCTTTATACAGGCAGCTGTCAAGAAAGTCATTAAACTCGGTGCCCATTGGCTTATTAGGCGGAATGCGGAAACTGACTATGTTGTAAGCCCCTTCGCGCGCCTTTACTTTAGTGCGTTGCAGTCTTGCTGCCCTTCACCCTCATTTCTTGTTTGGCTGTGTTCGCCTTTAAGCTGATGAGCAGCAATCCTTATTCTCATTAACTTTTAACCATATATTATTCTTTCTACTAGTTTTAGGACTACTATAAACTACGTTTTATATAAAGCTTTAAGCTATTCATGGCTTCTTGAAGCAATCATTGTTTTATCTAAACTTCATTATAGTTTTATATTGGAAAACAAAAAAAATTATTAGTAACGTTTAATTTTTTGCTATTAATAACTTTGAAATTGGTAATGTTTTTTGAAGAGATCTGCGTGAAAACACGTTAACCTCCGTTGAAGCCTCCAACTTTGTTGGCCTGACTAATTTAAAAACCTTGTAAGCTGGAAACTTTATTTCTTTGCATTGCACTATTTTTATTATAAACTTTTTAGGAACTTAGCCGAGAACAACATTAGAGTTATCGAGTCAAATGCGTTTGATGCGCTAACCAGTCTCACATACTTGTAAAAAATGGCTATCTACTGCTTCAGTTATTTACTAAGTTTTATTTATTAGAAATTTTGAAGGAAACGAACTGACATCCTTGAATAACTCCCATTTTAAAAACTTATTAAATTTGAAAATACTGTAATTTTTATGTTTCTTAATTCGCTTTCTATAAAAATAAGTCCATAAATTTTTTTTTACGCTTTAAAAATTTTTCTGGCAACTTTTCATCGCGTATTAATTATAAAAATATAGTACACTATACTTAAATATTTGTATCATTATTTAGAAATTTGAAGAGGAATAAGCTATTATTTATAGAGAAGGAAGTTTTTACTAATTTATTAAATTTAAACTCTTTGTAAGTTTTTTGCATTGTTTTTCTCCTCTTATTATATTAAAATATTGCAATAACTTTGAATAACAGGCATCTCACGGTGTCAAAGAACTTTTTATGTGAGTCACTGGGAGTACACGAGAAATTATTTGCAAAGTTTAAGGTGAAGTACAGCCTGTGCACTTTCAAGGGGACCCCTATGCACTATCAGTACGCCTACAAGCAGAGGATTGATGGATACGAAGAAAACAAACTACCTCCTTTTGGCACGTGGTGGGCTAACACACTAAATGAGTACGACTGTTGCTAATAAACGTTTCGTTTCACGGGGCAGCTTTTTCGGTGTTCCCCTGCTCACACGCCATTCTATACATACAAGACAACGTCCACAGAGACAAAGGTCCTATTCCTAATCGGATAGCAGTTACCTTTAGTGTGGCCAAGGAAGACTTATTGAGATGTTAAGTTAGTCTTTTTACCAGTTAAGATAAGCATTAACGTATATAACGATCCTTAAACCTCCTCACTCGCAACTTTTTTATGAAATATGAGCTTCCCTGCTCTCTACCACTTTAATTATTACCATACTCCTTTCATGGCAAAGCGAGTACTTGCAAATTACGCGGCAGGCGCGGACGTATAAGCCTCAGAGTTTCGACGGCACGTAGACTGCTGTGTCGGTGTATGGAGCGAGGAGTGTTTACTGATCGCAGTGAATGGGTTGCCTTATATGTATAGCCTGAACGTTGTGAGGATAGCAGAGGTCTTTATGTGTCCCTGCGGCTTGGGAGGGTGGATAAGACAGGAAAAGGATTGGCCTATAACAAACGACTCAAGGACGTAGTAGAAGACCCTGTGAATCCAGTACACGTAGTTTTATACAGCAAGACTGCGTGTACCCAGAGCTTGAACGCCTTTTCAACATCTTAAATTACGGCTCTCGCAGCTTTATGAATAATCACTTAAAAAGACGCAATAGCTGCTGTGTTATATAAGCGTTTTTAAATTTAAACTGGATTCCCAGCAATACATATTCCGCAATTCTAGAAACGCTTCAGGTAACGCAGCGCAACAGACTACAGTTTTTTCTTAAAGTGGGTTCACGCGGCAATACAGCATCTCAAGCCGGGTTACCTAGTTTATCGCCACTAACTAACTTTTTTTTGGTTCCACGTTGATGTAGACGTCGAGGCCGGATATTTTCTGCCAAATAAGTACATACACTAGCTCGATTTAATAGGTTTCGGGTTAATGAAAGAACCGGGATACCTTGTCTCTGCCTTTATCTCCAGCAGCAGCCTCAGCTGAAGGAGCGCACGGAGCAGCGAGTTACTTGGCCAAGAATGTAACCTTACCTTCACCGCTCAGCCCCCGTCACGCTATTTTTTTGAACAGACGCCTGCCTCTCGTTAGTGGCGTAGTTGACTTCTGCAGTACCACTTCTTAATGGCCGTTGTACAGAGTAATTAGCTCTTTTTTAAAGCTTTTATGAAGAGGGTTTAGCATCAGTTGGTAATCAAGTGGAAAGAGGCCCAATAAGTATATCGTTAAAAGGCAGGGCAATGCACCACTTGGTAAAAGAATGAATGGCTGTTAGCGCCCACTTAAAAATTTTGACTGCATCGACAGTAGTGCTTTTCTTAGAAGAGAAGACAGCTTAAAGAAGGCGTTGCTTTGAGTATAGCTATACACTTTTCCCTCTAGATTGTATGCGCCCGAAACTTTTCTGTATTCTTGGCTTAACTCTAGCAGGGGGCAAGTGACCCAATAAAAGATTCTCTAATGCTTTGATTTCTTCCGACGGACAATCGGTTATTATAACGACTATCTTAAACAAACTAAATTGCCCATTTTGCCTTGTGAATCAACTGACTAGACTCGTAAGATGCGTAGGCCCGAGTTCTCATGTATTATTCTACTTGAACTTTTTACTCGACGTGCTACACAACGCACTTAGAATTGAAGTCGCCACAGAGTGAAGAGCGGGCCGCTTTGCAGTTAACGTGTCTCACCTATTTGTTTTGGGTTTTCCAACTACCATTGCTTTTAAGATTGTTTCCAACGCAAAGTCTGCCCGACTTGATTACGTAGAACGCCGATGTTATAAATGGTATGAACTTTTGCTTATAGTTTGTTTGGATTGTATATGCATATTTAAAATTAAGGCAACGTATTTGATTCCCCGAACATATGGAGTTGATAACAACTTATGAGTTTCCCAACATTTTGAGTTTACGCCTGCGTGAATGAAATACTACTTTCTATAGTTTATGCTAGGACGTGCAGAACTCCTTCCGAAAATTAGCTAGGAGTTGTTCCTCGACTTTATTTATATAGACTTATCATTTAAGGTTTTCTTTTTCTCGCTACTCTTACAAGGGTCTGGGCGATCCCCCTCGCATGTAAATAGCATTCAAAAAAAAGCAAGTCAAGTAGAGGAGGTGTGTGTCCAATTTAAATAAGAGTTTACTCCAATAGCGAAGTCAAGCGCTTTTTTATATATATATATATATAATGCTTCAATTATTTATATTATAACAAGACGTTGTTTAAATTAAGTAACAAGTTGTTATTAATAACATAACGAATATATTTACTATAAAAGATCAAATTTGTTGAGATACCAGGGATACTTGTTTGATAAGTAGTGTATAGCTTACAAAGATATGTAATTTCAGTAAAAACTGCTTTCAACACTTGCGCAAAAGATTTTTGAGCTTTGAAAGGTAAATATTGACTTTGTTATGAAACTATGGCAAGCTAACTTATTAAAAATCTGGACTTGAGCGGATTAAACTAAAATTTATCGGAAAAATTAAATTTTCTGTATTTTCTGTATGTATCCTTCCTCCACCTTATCATCCTTGTAAACTGGCATCTTTCTGATTACTATTTCACTTTCTTACCTTGTAAGAGGGTTGTTCCCTGCCAGTGCTTTTGTGAGAGCTCTTATAGGCTTACCGATAATAAAACTCTTAAAATGTGTAAACAAAAGTTTTATAGTTATTCAAGATGTATACGAAGTCATTACCAACAGCAACGCTATTTATACTGATGTTCTATTTACCAATAAAATTAAGAGCAGGAAGTGTTGGAATTATAACAAAAGTATGGTAAACACAGACACCCTCAAATTTTAATTAATAAACTTGTCGAAGGGTTGAACGCGCTACTAAAGGGCCGCAAGCTCTCACCCCAAAGTTTAAGTAAAGGAAATACACCTGAAAAAAGCTGTCAAAAAAAATTATTAGTTTTTTTTAATTTATTTCCAAGTTATTAAAAGGCTCGCATATCCTTAAGTTTATAAAAATGAAGACAGTTTTGTGCTCACGATAATTTATTTTCTAATTTTCAGTCTACATACACAAAGACACCGAATGTAAAACCGACGTGGCGCGATTTAGAAGTCCACCTTCAGGCAGATTTTAGTGAGAAGGAGAAGTTGATTGGGACAGCCCCTACTAACTATAGTGAGACCCAACCAAGGAAGGGGTGGAGTGTGTAGAGTTCAAGCAATGTGTGTGGTAAGGTTTGAATGGAGCGACATATGAACGCTGAAGGGGCGGCAGCAGTTTATGATCGGCAGAGTCGAAGCCCAGGCAACGTTGGCACACCACACAGACACTCTCGAATAAATTTTCATAGCTTTGGATCCAGTTCTGTTTGCAGTAATAATAATAGTAATGAGGTCAACAGGGAGCGAAGTTACACCAAAACCAGAAAAAGCTTCAACGGGGAGCTATCCTTGCAACCATCGCGGTAAGACCAAACCGCTGCAGTCCAGATATCCGAGAGCCGCTGAAACACCAAAAACCTTGAGGAGCCCCGGAGCCCGACATTCTATAAGAGAAGAACTTGCAAGGCAAAAGCGGGTGGAAGTTGCGGGTTGAGGTGGCCACTACCGACTCTTCCCAGGCGCACACCGTGACCCTCTTGACAGTAGTAGCTCCCGGTCGAAGAAGAAGATGCGCTCTCCACAAACTATCGACTAGCACCTGAAATATAAATACTCAACAACTGAAAAGTACGAAAGCGCAGTAGTAAACCACAAGGACGCACGATGCTGCAAACATTTTCTTTTCAATTTTAATCTTCGAAGTTGAGGAAAGTACATCCCATAGAAGTTCATCCCTAAACGAAAGATTAAAAAAGAAGAGCCTGTATCGCGTGGATGTACAGGCTTTGTTGAAAGACAATGTTAGAAAACCTCGAAGTATCGGCGTTCTCGTGATGATTTAAAAGCTAATAGTTTGCAGAAATAAACATAAATAACAATAAACCCGGAAGATTCAGTCTAACCTTAATAGCAGAAGGAAAATAGTCATCCAACGAGTTTCTTAGGGAATCTAAAGCAAAGGTCGCCAAAGATTCAGTCCGTTTAATGTTTGTAGTAAACTCGAGAAGGTTTTTAAATTCATAAGACTCTGTGATTTTGCTCAGCAAAAGTTGGTGCACAAACTCACTCTTCTTTTTTCCTTTGGAATTGAGACCTTGTATTTAGTAACATAATTCTAAATATTAAAAGCTTCAAAAAGGGAAAGGAAGAGTACTGAATAATAAGTTAATTACGCATAATACCTTTCATGCCTTTAAGTAGCTCTGTAATGCTTATTAACGAAAACAGCAGCCTCCTAAGTAGCTAATTTTATATAAACTCCAAACTACTCTTAGTCGATTCTCAAACATTTATAAAAAAAGAGAAGAAAAAAAGATTAGTAATATACTTCTTGATTCATATTAATAGATTCAGTAAAATTCTCTGTTAACGTGTTTAATGTGTTTGAAGACAGTTTGAAAGGATCCAGCTCAAAAAAAACGGCGGCTACTCCTGTTATTATAAAAACGTAACTAAAAAAGTTAAGACTAAGATATAAAACTACCTACAGTATAAATAAGACATAACCTTTTCTCAAGTCACCGATTAATTTTAAGGAGTCATTTATTTTTTCTAAAACTGAAACGTACTGAAATTGTTCATAATTGGTCTTAAGAACAACGTTATTATGACCTACTTCTGAGTTTATATCACGTGGAGTGGAACCGGTGCCCTGAATAGAATCACTATCGAAAGAATCCCCGAAAGTAAGACTTGGACTCGAGAAAAAATCGTACTCAAACATAATTTACCCAATTTGCAAGCGTTAAGATTAACCTTTTATCAGCAGGCTTTTACATGCGAAGTTAACCCCAGTCATTTCAAAATTCTTTTCAGGACCTCAAGCAATGTAAGTTGCCAGGCTCATGGACTCCCACCGTGAACCGTTATTGTAAATTTAGAGCGCCTATGTTCATACTCTTTTTTTTATTCTTCTTAAATTAATTTAATGTTCTTTAATTTATTTCAGCCTGTTTTTAATTCCCTTTCAATTGGGCTAGTTACAAATCCTCTGATATTAGGTGTAGTAGTGTCAAAAGTCAGAACCTCCTACGACCAACACCGAATAACAAATTATAGAAGGTCATTCATTTCGAAATATAATTAAAATTATTTATTTTGATACTTATAATTTATAATACGTATTATTCTCTACAAAAAAAATTTCACCTAACCGTTGTGCTGGGAAACTCTTGGCTAGAGAACTACGTTGGTATTTTTGAGGGCGAGACTTTATGCAAAATCCATTAAAGACCCAAAATGAAATCATGTAGTCGGGAAACAAATGCTCTTAGCGCTGAACCAACTTTCAGTCCTGGTGAGAATAGACTTAGGTATATAACCTGTCCCACTCCCAAATTAAATTCTCAGATCTGGGCTCTTTAGCCACTCTTAATTGCCCCCATTGTTTATTGTTGATTAACCTTCGATCGTTTATTATATATAAAGTTGTCCATTGTTATTGTACCTCCTCCAAATCAAATTTTTTCTGCTTTTATATAAATAAGTATCAGCCTTTATAATTTTTGTACAATAGATATCTTTTTATTAGAAAAACGGCCTCCAACAACTATTTACTAAGTTGCCTAAAATATGTTGATAAATTACAATACAATTTTTATGTAAAATAAAAATTTTGTTAACACTCATTGAAGTTATCCTCTCCTAACAAAATGTGGTAAAAACTTAATTAACTTTGTGGACTTAAAACTTATTTTAATTTAACCACATGTATGACTTTATTAATCTAAAATTGCACCACTAGCTGAATGTGATGTTAATTCATTCATTTTTAAAATATTTTTCAAGTAAATATCAATATTTGGGTATTTAAACAGTGCGCTGATTTTTTTGTCACAATAATAGGATCGGACATATTAAATATGTTTACTTTCTAACTTTTTTTTTGTAAATCCCAGGCATGGATTCCCGCAGTGGGTTTTGCGGAAAAGGAAGGATTAGCTAAAAACTTAATTCTTGCCGATGTTATAGAAAACTACTTGAAAGCTGCCTACTAGGTCGAGTACCGAGTCAGTATACGCGGGCAATCCTTGTCGGCTAACTCTGAACGCTTCTAATTAATTTTTGTGGTTCGCTATAATTAGATTATATGGCGAATTTTAGAAACTTTATTCTGCTTTCTGCTATGTTAGGACTCGTTACTCAATAACATTTCTTTCTCTATAAGGTCTTCATTTATTAGTTTAACCAGTTTACCTAGCGATTTCCTCAATAATTTTTTATAGATGTAATCTCGTAGAGCATAATGCAAGTGTTTAAATTTAACTCTCTCCCTTAAAAGGAATATAAAAGGGAACATGACAGCTAATGAAACAGTCTTTTATAATAATAAAAAAATGGTTCTCTCCTCTGTTCAGTAGTTGAGCATTTCTTTTTTCTTAATCTTTTTTTTTAAAAAAAAGTATTCATTCCATATTCAGTCAACAGTGATATATGAAACCAAACTAGAAATTTTAAAATTTTAGATTGTTTATGGTATATTAAACTTAAAAGGATAAATAAGACTGGCATTGGTTAATCTAAAAAAATTGCTTTAAATTCACTAATTTAAAAAATTCTTAGATTTCCCACCACGCTAAGTGGGAGCCCACCTTAAAGTACAGGAAACTTTTGACCTTTTAACTAGGATAGCTCGGAGGTTTGAGGGCCCGGACCCTTACTTTTTTTTCGGAGACCCTGTGGACCACTAGATCCCTTTGGACTTAGGTCTTAGATGAGCTCAAAGGTACAGGAGTTGGTTTCTCTTTGAACCCCTCTAGATTTAGAAACTTTTTGAACTTCTCAGCCTTCGGGAAATTAAACGCGTCCTTCCCCTCGCAAGCGATGGACCCTTGTTCTGTCATGATCGATTGCAACTTCAAAAAAAAGCGCCGCCAGTTGGAGGTGATTAATCCATTATAAGAGTACATAGGTTCGACATCTAGTTTTTACTTCTGTTGTCTGTCACTACAGGTATTTTTCATATGAAATTTTTTAGCTGAACTTCATTACCCCAACATATCCGTGCAAAACTTAGGTCTAAATTTGAATTTAACCACTTATTCATGAACACTCTATTATTCTATTCATGGGCTGTTACAAGATTTTAAGCGCGGCAGTGTAGATTTTTAAATAGTATTTTAAATATAGTAGTATGAGCAAAACTTTCATGTAGTTAAGCTTTTGAAAAGAGACTAAGTATTACCAGTGATTTTACCGGTTTAATGTAATACTAATATTAACTGAACCGATAATTTTTATATTATAGTAGATAGTTACGTCGTAAAAGCCTTTTTATTGACAAGAAATACCTAATTTTTAATAAATGAACTTAGGAGATACATATTATTTAACAGAGAATTTTTAATATTAAAAGACCAAAATTTAGCTTATAGAGTTATACTATGGCGGACTGAATACGACGTTACTTCAACTAAAAGTAAAAAGGTGAAGTAAATTTTGACGGGAAAAAAAGAGTATTTAAATTTATTGTCCCGAAGTGGAAAGAAGTACCACAAAATGGGACAAGAAAAGAAATTATGTGCTCTCTCAAGTGACTAAATTATGTAGTAAGAGCACGTGGTTAAACATTATATACAACTTTATTTAATCATAACAAGAACACGATTAAAACAGAACAGAACCACGAGGTGTAAACATTCCACTTTTATGAGAATAAACTCACTGAAAACACCAATTTCCAGCTCATCAATAAAAAATGATCCTGAACGTAAATGTATATCACAGGGAGAGGGCCCTATCAGTTTATGAATTACTTATATTAGGCCTTAAAAATTTTGCTTTAAAGGTTTCTGTGAAGAAATTATATATTTTACCTTATGCTATACTCTATAATTAAATAGGATTAAGAAAAGACCAGAATAGAAGATATCTGATATCATATTAAGCGTTTGCGAATTTACACCTTTCTTTATATTCCTAAGGGTGTATTAATACTGGTATACATGATCAAGTACTCCACATATATCCTGTTGGGCTTATGTGCCTTTGTTACCAACCAAACTGTACTGTACTTGATAATAATGGTAGGTTCAAGAGCTGCAAAAATAGGTAAGGAGACTAATGATTATGAAAGCACAGATTAATAAATTAATGAAACTTTATGAAATCTTTAAAATTGTATACACTTTCAAAGCGGTTTTAGGTGTTTTTGAAGACAAAGTTCATTTAATTATGTCATGAAATTGTTATTAATTATTTTTAACGAAAGCGTGGTTCTATTGACGCTATTAATTTTGTTATAAATTTTACTCAGGGGAGCGCTAAAACATTCTGTAGGTCTTTCTTAGTTTTTAACTAATATATCGTCAGAAATGCTAAGTAAACAAGGGTTATGACCTCACTAAAAATATTACTTTGTTTTTTTGGTAACGTTATACTCCACAGAGCAAGTTTATTATATCTTTTCTAAGTAATATCAATTGTCGCTTTATTTATGACTAGTCCAACTATTAAGGTCGTGTTGAAAACAAAAATTAAGCTACAAAATTAAAGTTATGCTTCGTAAAATTAAGGTATTAATTTTTTTCAAAATCACAGAGAGTTACTAAAAGAAAACTCTAATTAAAATTAAATAGAGTTCTGTTAGTTTTACAAAAGGAAACTGGCCATTTCGTCATTATTAATAAATGACTAATAATAACTTGTAATATACCGGTAATTGAATGTTAATAAACCATATCAAACTTACATTTTATAATGTTGACCTGTAGCAAAGTTTTAAGCATATATAAGTATTATGTAGTCACCTTTCTTAAAATAATAATATTATTTAAAATGCAATAGCAAGTTTAGCAATATTATAGTTGGTTCACTCTTAATTATTTCTAATGATTTTTACACATTTTTCATTATGGAAATTAGGTAGACTTTTTTATTTCTTGTAATACAAAATTTTTTAATTCCTTGCTTACTCTTTTGTAGTTATTTGTGTAGTTGGGCTACCACTACCATGCCTAAGCTTTATTGATATTACATTGCAAAGCTGCTCCAATATTTTTACAGACAAGAGCTCAGAAAGTGGTTTGAACCTAGCTTCTTTAGACCTCTCCAGTCGACCACAAAATAATTTTTAGTAAGTTCTCTAAATTTTGTAGCTTTTACATTTTGCTTATATAAAAATTATGGTTATACTGTTTCTTCTATATAAACTGACTTAACTTTAAGTTAAAAAGTCAATATTCTTTTGAGGAAAAGTATTTTTCTCACCTAAAAAACCTTTTTCTGTAATAATCTCCTTTTTAAGCCAATTTTGTAATGGCAACTGGAAAGATGAAATTCCAGAGGCTAGCTTTACCTGGGTAAATTTTTTTAATTTCTCTATTTTTTCATCTACTTATAGTATCTGCTATTTCATAGAAAATTAATAGTTAATTTACATTCTGTAAAATATAAATTTTTAATCCAAAAATAATACTATACTTTAAACTATAGAATGCTCTTGAACTTGCACGATTAAATACTCTTCATAACTTAAGAAATATAATAGGTAATCTCAGCAATGAGGGACATACTGACCCCTCTTCTGATTTAGGTGAATGCTCTATAATAAAATGAGGCTTAGATGTGAAAAAATTTTAATTTTTTGGATGTGTTAAAGATATGATCACTATCTTTGCTTTTATCCGTTAAAGGAAAAATCGCCTTAATCTGGACACGTGCGATGAACGTTACTAATATTGAGTTAGATGGGTTGACCTCGATAACGGACTTATTTGAAGATCTCGATAGCATTTCCTCTCTCACTGATTTCGTAAAATTTGTAGCCAAAGCACACAGGCAAATCTTCTTTTATGCCCTTGTGTTATTTATAGTTGACTATTTAGGAGATACTTATTAAACTAATATACTAAAATTGATGTGTTTTTATGTAGAAACGGCGTCGAAATATTTTTTAGGTGCACGGCTGACACGAATCCCCACGATAGTCAAACAACCATTCCGTGGATCCACGAAGGGAAGCTCAGTTTACCAAAAGACTACTACCTCGATCCAGACCACGTATGCCTTATAACTTTCTAAAGCTCCGAAGGAGATGGCTGTTACAAAAAAGACTCTTACTCAACTATAGCGGAAAAGATATATGTTTAACGTAGCCCTAGAAAAAGTGATGACAACTTAGTTTAGTTAACAAAAGTCATCTTTCCTATGAATATTAAGCATTCTAAAAACTCATCAAGACTATATACTATAGAAGGAGATCCGCAACGCTTATGTCGCCTACATTAGTGAGGTTCTTAGCTTGGCTGGTTCACTTACTATATAACTATATATATATACAAAGAAATTTGTCTTTTGTCGTTAAATAGAACTGAGGAATGGCGATTCGGTTGCACAAGAGATAATACAGCTGGAAACAGAAATTGCTAATTATACGCTATCAAAACTCGAGAAACAGCAATTTAAAAAGTTGGTATCTCTTCTGGCAATGATTATAAAATAATCTGCGCAACTTAACTTTTATCCGTGGCTCAGGAACTTTCATTTAAAAACGCTTGACCAGCTCCCTTCCAGTTGGTTGTGGCAAGAATACTTTGAAACTTTAGGTGAGGGCTACCTTGAGTACAGTAGGATTAGTGCACTGTGTGTCATAAATCCAACGTAATTCACCATACTTTAGTTTACTGCTGTCCCTATTTTTAATTTGTTTTTTTTTTCTTAAGATTTCTGGAGTTTGTTAGCGGCCTTCTGGGGGAGAAGCTTAATCGCTTAGAGTTGATTCAGAAATACGCTAAATGTACCATGCTTTCCTGATCGTGCATTAAAGCGACATGGAACTTTGGCCCTTTTTGCAGGGAAGATACTTCTTACTTTCTCCCCTTTTCTCACGAAGGCTTTTTCTGCTGCGCATTTCCGGTTTTTTGGGGAAAAACTAAGGGTAATTGATTTTTTAACTCTCTAAGTGGCGCTTTCGACCTTCTGTTTCAACCAGGGTCAACCGGAGCCCGAGGAACGCTGGGTGTGGTTACTAGGTTATTTAAATCAGCACGCTGGCCATCTACTTGGGAAACTGTACTGTGATGCGTGCTTTCCCTCGTCCTCCAAGGAGCACGTGATGGGTGACTTGCTACTATTATATGTTTACTGATAAAGAATTGAATGCGTTGCTAAAGAAATAGCAAGGACCGTCATCGAGGAGCAGAAAAAATTAATTTCTGAAGTTGAGTGGATGGAAGACAACACTAAGGCCCATGTTGGACTCTATTATTCATTCCCTCAATTTTCTATGGATAACTCATTTTTTATAGGCTCACGAGAAGTTGAATAACCTTTTGCTAAAAGTTGGTTGCCCAGATAATTATGAAGACTACAGCACCTTCACACCCTCTAAAAAAGACAGTTTTGTAGCCATCATTCGCCAGCTTTCTGTGTTCAACATGAAAACGTCTCTGTTTTATTATTATAATAAGCGAATATAAGTAAATCACAATATTTAAAGGAACTTACTTCTTGCAAATAAACCCACGGATCGAGAAAAATGGTTGGTGGCGCCTCAAGAAGCCGATGGCTTTTACCACATCTTTAGGAACGAGCTCAGTACAGCAGTATAACAAATATTTTAAACAGTAACCACATAAGATACGCACGTGCAGTTCTTCCCGCGGGTATTCTGCAAGGCTTTTTTTACGACCCGGATAGAGACCTTTGCGCCAACTACGGAGCTATTGGAGCGGTGATCGGCCACGAATGTACTGGAAATAATTTTTTGACAGTTATTCTTCCCTTATGTTCTTCCATTCCTCAAGTTCAACATCCTATAATAGGCATACACGGATATGATGAGAGTGGAAAGGAGGTAAACTCTAGAGGAAATATGGTTAATTGGTGGTCCTACGCAGATACTATAAGGTAATACCGACACTTTTAATATTTTCTTAACAGCTCATTATTTCTAACACCCCAAAGGTATAAAAGGCGTGTGCAATTAATTGTAGAGCAGTATTCCTCGATAGAAGTTACTGAGAACCACTTTATAAACGGCCAACTCACTGTGGGTACGCAGAACGAAGTTTCTTATAAACCCCCATCATCCATAATATTCTATATGTTTAGGTGAGAACATTGCCGACATTGGAGGACTCAAATGCGCCTACCACGCTATGCAGACTGCTCTTAAAAAGCACCCGGAGGCGAACAGAGTAGTGTCCTTTAGTCCACTTTTCGCTTTTCCTTTCTTTTAAATAGATATCGCATAGATTCTAGATAATTTTACTCCTGAGCAACGGTTTTTCGTCTCATGGTGCCAGCTTGCCAGAGAAAAGTCTCGGGAAGCTTTCTTAATTCACGTTTGGTTAACTAGATATTACCTTTTACTTTGTCTGAGTCTGATGAGTAGGGGCTCAATGTAAGTCAGCATTCACCCTTAAGAATACGGGCAACTCAGCCACTGAAAAACTTGGAGGAATTTTACCAGGCTTTTAACGTTAAAGAAGGTGCCTAATTTTCATGTTATGCAACAGTTTCTTTTTATAACTTTTCCTATCTTGAAAGGAGATGAAATGTTTCTTGAGGAGGATCTAAGAGTTAATATTTACTAAACTATTAAGCACAACAACATAATGAGGCGGATTTCCTTATCTGGAAATCTAGAAAGCTACTTTTACTCTTTAGCTAATCATTAAAGAGCGAGATTTGTCCTTCTCCCGGGTTTAGGGTTTGTAGTAGCCTAGTGACTAGTAGCATTGCCGCGCATACTCGTGGCTGGGGATTCCATCCCCACCAACCCGACTTTCTTTTCGGTCTTTGCTGGTTTTACATTTAACTCGCCCCCATAAATTTTGAATTACCCAGTGTTCTACTCGCAGGCGGAAAAATTGGTTTTATCTTTAGGTAAAAGCTTAAACTATGTTTACTCTCCAATTCTTTCAAGTTGCCTATTATCAACTGTAGTGAGAATTTATATATACACAAATATATAACGTGTATTAACTATTCGGGAATTAAAATAGTAAACCTTTTAAATTTTGTAAAAAACTACCCTAAAAACAACTATATTAAAGTTGTGATATATGCAAAAAAAAGCTTTTTTATTAGTTTTACTTTGTTAAAGATTCAAGACATACCTTACCTTCTTCTGTAAATTTACTTTCAACTGCTATATCCCTTATATTTTTTTAATAAAGGTTAACTATTTAAAGTTCCCTTATGGTTATCCTAAAATAATTAAAGTATTTTTTGGTGTAAGTAGAGTAAGTTATTTTTCCGCATTAATAAGAGTTACCCAAAAAAATGAAGCAGTGTTATACTAATTCTTTTAGTATATACAGGTATTAACAGGATTTTTTCGCTTAAGCGTATTTTATAGAAGCATTTACTATAGCCTATTTTATGTAGAATGCAGCTCCAGGGATTCATGAGAAAATATATAGTTCGCAAGGAGCTTATAGAAATCTTTAACAAAACTTAAAGTGAAGAACACTTTTAGAAATTCCGTGCTAATAAGCAGCATAAAATATTATTAATGCTTCTAAGGTTTGGTCCAAAGAAAGTTACGTAACAGGCTTTATACTTTAATCATCACGAAGGTTAAGAGTTGCCGCCGAAAATAACCCGCTGGCCATTGCAAACTCGGTATAATCTCGAGTAACCGCAGGTTTAAATACACATTGGCTTAAAAATCACTAGTAGGTCAAGCAACTAGAATTTCGGTACTTTAGTTGAATCTTAAAAAATTTCCTGAACTGCCTTTAGCAACTAGCTTTGGTCCTAAGCAAATAAAGTCCCGTCGTACTTTTTTTCAAATGTACTTTCTACCCGATATGCTCGTGTTTCCAGAAATTTTTTCTTAGTTTGCCCTCAATACACCCTCACCCCCTTTTACGATCACGCTTAGCTTAGCTTTGTTATAAATTTCTGTAGTGATATGTTAGTCGATAGCATTTTCTTTAGCTGCTGAAAAGGTCTACCGCGTAATCATTTTCAAGCTTATCAACCTAAATTACTTTTAAATTGCCAATATTAATACATCACTCTAATATTTATAAGAAACTTAAAGGTTTTGGTAATGACGTACTTTCATCATATTTTGGTAACACTTTTTCTCTCCAAATCTTTTGTTTGCAACTTTGAAGGGGATAGTCCTGCCATATTATTGGCCTCAAAAAATATTATTAATGATTTAGTAGCACAGAATAAGGACATGACTGTGCTTTACACTTTTCATAACGTTGGCTCAAAGTAAGTTTATGTGATCCTCGGCATCCTTCTCTTCTTAAGTTAAAAAATATATAGAGATGCAACGGAAATTACAGTCCATGAAGAATCTTTTCAAGAGCCGGACTTTGAACTTAAATTTGGCGTAGAGTCGTTCGAGATCCCAAGATTAAGAAAGTATCACTTTTTCTCACGTCAGTATTAGTTTTAACTACAAAATCTATTTCAACGAAAGAAGTCAGAGCTTTACCCACGCAATAGTATATACTGTGAAAGCCAAAGAAGGAAGATTAGGGCCCCCTGCCACCTCTTTCACATACTTTAATGGAGAGGAGGTTCTATTTAAAGGTTTTAAAAATAATTTATATAGCGACCAATATTTTACAAGACGGTGACCGCCTTAACAAGTAAACCACAAGAGCGAATAATTGTTTCGGAAAACTATTTTATGCATAAGTTAAATAATCACTTGGTAAGTTATATTAAACGCATTAGCTAATTTGTACTGAAAATGTTCTGGTGAAAACATTTTCAATTCTAGGCATTTGAGCTTGGCTGTCTTTTATAATTATTCAACTCTAATATTATACTTCTTTCACCGCTAAACATATTTCTAATTATCCTATTTATGTGTCCGTTTCTATTTGGAAAGGCCGAATGGTTTATCTATGGAATTCTTGCACTTGTTTTTCTTTTTATCATCCCTTTATACTCTTACTATTCTCGAGCTAAAAGGAATTATGCGCATTTTTCAAAAAAAGCAAAATGAATTTCCGGATTACTATGAAAAATTTAATATACATACGGCTTAATTAAACTAATTTCTACTAACTACTTGATTATTATTTAAAGAACTAATGATCACACCGCCGTTTCGTTTATATATAGTGCTGCGGATTGTGTTGCTTACGTGCAATAACAGAACACCCGACACTTGAAGGGACGCTGCAACTCCAAAGTTACCGATATGAGATTTACCACGCGCTGCAAAGCAGTGAGAGCGCGTGGGGGTGTGTGTTTACTACGAATAAAGGCGTTGCGGAGCCTGGATTTATTAAGCTGTCCAGCCCTCACACACCGCCTGAAGCACACTTACTCACCAGCCGTCTCTTTACAGCATAGAAATATATCGATATTGACCGTTTATAGTTCATGATCCACACGTGAAGTTGCGCTTTCCATTAAGCTGTCAAATACTTACAGTAGAGCTCGTATTCACGCACTTGATCCGCTTTGAATCTGCAAAAAACAGTCAGCCAGACCGACTTGGTATAAGCAAAACCTGCCTGACTTCGAAGGGCACTTCGATGACTGCTTCGAAACCCTCGTCAGCGGTGGGCATCTCAAATCTAGAGGCGGTAGAGCAGTTAAAAAGGGGTGGAGGGCAGGAAGGAACGGGAGGGAGGACCTTCTCTGGTACACATTTAAAGCGATGTCACCCACGCGAGGTCGCCCGCCCGCCGTCAGCTCCCTAAAGATGTCGTTGCTGCCGGTAAAACGAGTAAGGCGGACTGGATTAGAAACAGAGCAGAAGGGAAACGCCACTGTCTGCAGAGGTCGCGACTCGTGCTGAAGTACAGACACCGCGCTGCAACGCCGTGCTTCCGGGCGAGGGCAAGAAAGAGACCCCGCTTGCTCGATTCCGCATTGGTGTTATCTGGACGACGCACGTAATAAGTGAGCTGTTTAAGCTTGAACGGCTCAGCCATGAAGGCCACCAATCACGACTTTCTCTCTGTTCCCAAGAAGACGATCACAAAGATCCAGGCATCTCTGCAGGCTCCTCAGTGTGTCCTTTCATAAAATCATCGCCAACAGAAATCAAGCTCGGTACTTTTACACGTTACCTGGTTGATTCGACGGTATCCAAAAGGCACTAAAAAGTTTTCAGTAAAAAAAGTTTTTCCTGCACCCTTCCAAAAAAATAATATTTCTTAAAAGAAAAATATTCAAGGTTATACTGGGGAGCCAACGTTAATAAGAAGTTCACAAGAGTCCTTTTCAAGGACAAAAGGAGGAGCGCGGCTAGTTGAGAGAGGAAGCAACTTTGGGTCGGGCCCTTTAAGAAACTATTAAGCGCAGGAAGGCTAAAATAGGATAATGAGTAACGCCTTTCCACTGGAAGGGCTGCGGGGGCGCGTTCAAGAAGAACTCCTCAGGGGTGTGGAACTTGCGTATATGGAAAATAAATATAAGAGGGTGGTTCAGGCTATAGTTATTTCCCACACACAGTGAGTCCAACGTTAAAAGCAAACTTGCGATCCGAATCGGAAAAGTCCTTTTTTGCTCCCACTTCCCATCCTGCTGGTTAATATCTCCGGGAATATTTCCGTATATATATATATATATATAAATTCGTAAACACCTGCAGGTCTTCCAGCAGCATCTCCACAGAAAAAGCTTTTAGATAAATCTAAAAGTATTATTTGAGAATACCATAAAATAGTATAGTAAAGAGGAAACCAATGTTCACTTTGTTATACAGTTGAACAAGAGACCACATTCCAGGTAGTGGTTTTCTTTAATAAAAATTAAATTTTACTTAAATTAAAGCAAAGATAGAAGACCTATATTTATCTAATGCCGTGGCCAGAAAACATTGAACTGGTACGCCAACCTTTCAAATAAATAAGCAAACAGTTTTAAAAAAAGAGAAACTAAAAAGTGCAATAACTTATAAAAATATACCGCCTTTAAAATTTGCGCAACTTTTTTCTTCAAAAAAAATTCAGGGACTTTTTTTTTGGTTATTCCAAGTTGATTTGATATAACAACTATTTTATAACTTTTCAAAGAATAGAAGTGGAATAAAAGTTACAAGCATTGCACCACTTACCCGTTTTTGTATAGAAAATCTAGCTTTTCGACAACTACTGGAAATGTAAATTTCCAATCATTTTCGTTTACCGAAAAAGCTTTACCGCTCTTAGTGGTTACCAGCGTATGGTCCTGTTAAAGATAAAGGTAACTAAAAAAAACTTGCGAAACTAAACTATCAATAATTGTTTTAATTTTGTTAAACAATTTTTACACATGACTAAGTTTACAGCAGAATCGAGAAACCAAATCAAAGGCTGCAATCTTATTTCTTTGACTTTCGTCACAGGTTCCTATAAGTACTGTCTCTTCTTTGAACCATGTCACCTTAAAAAGGTCCGCCGTAAATGCGCTAGGGTTGATAACTTTGAAAATTCGGTCAATCTTTAAAGGTACTTTAGATTTATTTTTTACAACTTCTTTTTGTATAACTTTATCTTTAGTCGCTAAAGCAGACTTACGGGAGCCCATCAGGTAATAAAGTTAATACAGCACAACAAATTCAAAGGTAGTAGGATTCTCGCTTACCCAATGGACCCGGCAGGAGCTGATCACACAATAAACTAAATTTTTTACACGCGCGTAGTGTAATTAGGAAGAAAATAGAATGATTAAGCAAGTCCAAAAAAGGTAATTTTTAATGGTGTAAGCTTTTTGAGACTGCGTTTTTCCTTAAGGGCACAGCTATTCCAAGTGCAATGCAATTCGATAAAATAACTTCGCTTTAGCCCTGTATTACTATAAAAGTATGAGCGTTGTGGATAATTTTAAATATTAGGCAGAACTAATATTTTTAAATTTACGGTTAACAGACCCTTGAGGTGTGGATTTCCTTTCCAAGAGTGTTGTAATAACTCAACTATTACACCAATTAATCTTTATTATATATACTGATATCTAAGAAATAAACGGGATGAAAGTTTTTCTTTAGACAGGAGAAACAACCCTCGCATAATTTTTGTGTATATCTCTTCAATAAATTTTTCTTCTTCAAAGTCGATGCTGTTTAGTTATGTAGTCCCCGGTCAGGCTCATTTTTCCTAATCACTGCACCCCCACATAGGCTTTTGTTAGAGCTATAAGCACCATGTGACCTGAGTATTTCCGTTTGGGAAAGCTCAAGTTTTAATAAGCGTAAGAGCCGACAAGCATTTATACACTGACTTTTATACAGAAATACCAATAGCAATAACTCATGGCCAGTTTAATAAGGAAAAATATTAGTCAGTAACTTTTTAGCTTTGAAAATACTGTAGAGAAAGGCTTATTTTCCATAAACTTAAAAGTTACTATGAACAGCCACAAAATCTTACAAGTGCAAAGAGCTGAAGCCACCACTTTTCTTTCACTTAAAAGCGAAAGGACTTTCAGTTGAGCTTCGTAAATAATCAAATTGTTTGAAGGTTTTACAGTTAATATTTAGGTGAGTTTCTTACGCGCAACTTGTAACAGTCCGTCTTTTAATGTAAACTCGATATTCAAGTTCGTTTAATTATCTATACGTGCAACTTACAACGAATAAGTTTTATAGTTTGACTTTTTAAACTACATAATTCAGGGCCTATTACTTCCAATTTCCCCAAACTTTAAAAATCAAAAGCAGTATAAGTTTTATAGAGGCCTCACAGTTTTAAATAAACTAATTTATTCCATTAATCTAATTAAAAACTAATATTGAATGGCCCAATAAGTAAAACAAATACAGCTTGCGAGTTAAAAAACTTTTACTTTAAGGTTATTGATTCCTCGTTTATTTTGATTTAATAAATGGGTTGTGGCTCAATACGGTAAAGGCGAAGAATCAATTTGTTCTACATTCAACTCGTCTATCCATCCCGCAGGATGCGTTTAATAGAGAGACTAGAAATAGTCAAGGGAAAAAAGTCACGGCTTCTGCACGCAAATTAAAAAATAATTCCTACGCACATACTTTATGGCACAAAATTATTGGCAAAGTTTACTAATATTTTTAATATTTACAGCAAGTTAGCTTATCATAACAAGTTAGTTTATTCCGTTGCTATCTGTAAATATGGAAACCTACCAAAACGATATATTTTATTGGCGGTAATAAGCGTCGTATATATTCTTTAAGGGATAATAAATGTCGTGGTTTACGTGATTTTCTTTATCAGTTGTAAGTGTTATGCTTCTCTGTGATGCCTCGCACGTGAATTCAAATATCAGCTTTGTACCGTTTTCGCCCAAAAAGGCATTCACAGTTTGGTCAAAAGGAATTAAAGCGGTCATCCTACAGAAAAGTACACTAATACAATACGTAAAAAACGGCAACTACCGCAGCATTGACCATTTCAAGTGAATGTCTTCTGCAGTGGAGCGCTTCCTCCTTGTCGTGGTGGTGGGATCGGGCCGCCTCCTAGCAGCCAGTGAAGTCCCCATCAAACTGCTACTTCTCTTAAGCGAAGGCACGAATTCCGTCTTCTTCTTGGCTTGCGCGAATAATATATATCTTTTGACGATTATGAGAAGCCCGCTGGCAGATTCGTGAGATAAATAACAGCGAAGTAACGTACTTGTCAAAGAGAAAACAGTAAACAATTTTCTCGCGCTTCTTTACTTCAGTTTTAACCAATATATACTGTTCTTGAAGCAATTCAGCATCTCTCGGAGCCGTGACGCTGAACGGACAATCTACAGCAAGAACAGGCCATGAGAAAGGCACGATAACCACAGGAATGCCGTCTATGCCTTTAAAGTCGATCTTTTTTAAAGCAGCTTTGTTGGTTCCCACTTTCTTGGAGTACGCGTTAATGCCATTCACAGCATCGTTCACTATAACGCAGTGTGAGAAAAATACACAAGAAATCTCTCGATAAAAAAAAACCGACGTCCTGCAGCTTCAGCATATTCTTGTAGCTGTTGTGGCTTTCATCTGTGTAGTGGAGTATTTCTCTTATCAGCAAAGGATACCTCGACCAAAAAAAGCTCGAGAAATATGACTCAGAACGGATCGCAAACCTACTTCGTGATCCGCTGAAGAGGGCGAATGACGTAAGCGTTGAGTCCCAGCTTGTCTACGCTGCTGTTGTGGCTGTATGCCAAAGCGTTCATGAACGACGTAAAAACTTCGTTTTCTTTCAGGGCCAAGATCTTCATGTTGGACTCGTTAATGGTTTCTATTTGCTCGTGGTAATTATCATAGCTGCAAACAGAAACATTTAGTGCATATATAGAAATTTATATATATATATATAGCACTCTTACAGTTTTTCGAAGAAGGGAAAACATACAACGCTTATATCATCTAATGTAAGACGGTTTATAATATAAATAAAAAGTTAAGAAAAAAATTTACTGTAGAGAGGGAATTCCTGTTTTTGAAAGTCATCCAACTCAGTTAAAAACTTTTCATTACACTTATGAATTTCGGTTATGCGGCCTAAAATATTTTAAGAAAACTTAAACGGGCAAGAAAAAAAAAATTGTAGAATAACGAATGATTTATGAAAAGGACTTATTGTCACAACTAGCAGTCAACTATGAATGAGTGTTTTCTATAGTTTTTCTAGAAAGCAAGGCGGCTCCTACTCCTTAAAACACCACACTCCTCAAACATTTTCGAAGCTGCGGTGAACAACTATTTTATACAGTATATTGACATATAAAAATATACCAAATATCTGGTTTGTCTCCTCCAACGTCAACACTTGTAATTTCTTCAGCTTGTTATAAATATTTTTTATTATAAACTCTAAGTCCTTCACATATTGTCTTTCACTAGTAATAAATTCATGGATGCACTCTTGCCTTGAGACGACGCGTTATGACTTAAACACACCAAGTGCGGATCAAACACTAAAACGAAAACCTTTGAATTTCCTTTTTAGATAAAGTAGGTAGAACGGCTTCAACGCCTGGTTGAAACTTCCATAGCTTCGAATGGAGTTCAGCCAAGCCCGAAGTAAACGCAGGACTAGAAGGACTGGAAAGAGAAGAAGGAGCACATTTAATAGAGGAATCAGAGGGCTGGGGAGTCGCAGAAACTTGTCTTTCTCCTTGGTTAAATTCGTTGACAATTACGGTATTCCTTTTGGATGAGTTAAATAAATTTAAAAAAAAAGATGGAACTCCTTGATCTTCCCCAGACTGAGCAATAGGTTTTTTTTCAGAAGTCATGTAAACAGTAAGAAGGTGGTAACATCCTACATAAGATTGAGTTAAAGAAGGCTAGCGCACTTACATAGAAAGAAATACCTCATCAAAAAGGTAACCTCAGTAACAGGCAGACAGTTACAGTAGATATAAAACGCCCTATGGTAGGCGAAAGCAGACTTCAACGCTGATCTTTGGTCACGCAATCAAAAGTGAAAGATTCAAATCTGGCCTATGCACTACCTTATTATTAACGTAGCATTACTATACCTTATATAGCTATCACCGGGGAATCGAGAATTTAATATTTTATTAATTCTTTTTTTTTAAATATATATTTTTAATAAAAAAATTAAACCAAATATTTTTTAATTTCTACAAAAGTATAGTGATGGGTAAATATCATTTATTCGTGTTTCCTTAACAGTTGGATAACATATATATCAACATAATACGCAAGCAGATCCTAATTTTTTGTAATAACTTTACTATATCTTCAGCTGAAGGGCACCTACTAATGACCTCGTATTAACCACTTAACTTAAAAGACAGATCTTGTATCACCCTTCTTTTTAATTTTAATTGTTTACATTATATCACTTATTCTATCTGTTGTAGATCCCAAGATTAGAAAAATATATATATTTCCAAAAGGGGGTTTATAATTTATGTGGTAGGTGATAATGGAATGAGTTCTATATAAATCAATAAATTTTATTAATGCGATTTAAAACTTTAAAAAGTTAGGCTTTTACAAAAATTATGCTGGATTTATAAGCTTGGTTCTCCGTTTGTTAAGGCAGAAAAGACCAAGCATCATTTTAGTAGCTTCAGAATGTGAAGGTAAGCACTGTATAGCGTGCTTTTAAAAACCCTTTTCTAATAGTCATTTATTATATGTATTAGAAAGCCCAATGACATTATTAAAAAGAGCTGCTAACTTATTCAAAGATCTTTTGGGAAAGTAAAAAGTCTTTTGAATCTAATGTATCAATTTTGTGACCGACAGCTAAACTCGCCGGTTTTCAAGGGGTCGTGGTCTTGCGCCCATGGTCTCCTCTCCCAGTGGTGGTATTTCTGCGAAACAATAGACAAAAAGTGGAATTCCGAGCCCATTATGTCTCCACTACCCTCAGTCTGTCGAGACAGCTATTATACTCCATTAAAGGGTGCATTGGTAGACATAAACCTCCCCGATCCTTAACAAAAAGGAAGCGCTTGTTAATCTTGAAGATAAAGGGGTATACCCTTTAAAAAAAACTAATGAAATCCGTTTTACCACAGATGCCTTTCGCTAGCATAGTTAGACGTACCTGTCCCTGAAGAAATTAGTCGATTACACATAGGTTAAGTTAATTTTATAGGTATTCATATGCATTACAGAATATTTTTTTAAAAACTTGATTTATATAAACCTAAGCTTTACTATATATTTGGTTTAAGCATTCCGACTTTAATATACAGCGACAATAAAGCTCTCATTGGTGTCAGCGGTAAATTAGACCTGAATACACTTATAATAAATGAACCGCACTTAATCATAGAACCTACCTTAGCTAGTAAAAAAATTGCTTCTAAACTTAAATACTCTACTAAGGTTAAATGCAAAAGAGCGGACTTAGTTAAATAACTTCACCATTTCATGAAGACCAAACAAAATATTTGTCAATAGTGCGGTTGATATATAATGAGTGGAAATGGCTTGGGAACATTAAGACCTGCTTTTAAACTGTTTTTTAACTAAATAAATGAATACTATGCAAATTAATTAATTGTACGAATCTTTACAACTTGGGCACACTGTGACAAATCTTTAACTTAAGCTCAATTAACATATATATATATATATATATATATATATATATATATATGATTACATTTAAATAGCGTAGTGAGAAGGGTGCGCGAAAAATTGATTTTCTTCTAAGAAAGTAATAGAGCGAGATTAAACAAAGAAGTCAGAAACCGTAGCCAGGTAAAATACCCGAACAACTCTTACTGATAACTCACGCCAACTTTCTAGCTTTATGGCCCCAGATGAGATCAAGAGTTTCTGCTTTGAGAACTCTAAGACGACGCCTTCTAACAAAATTTTTCTTAATTACATACTGTTGTATTAGTAGGCAACCCGTAAAAATTAATAAAAAAGAAAATTCTAATTTAACTTTACTTCAAGTTTCATTAATAAACCGCTTGAACTTATTACTTCTTGCAAATTGAGCACACCTATTTTTTGTAGCTGAATCTCCGCAAGCGAAATGCAATGGTAAGTTTCGAGGACTAATTAACCGTTGTGCTCTTTTTGACCCTCAGTAATTACATTACCGTTTGATATACATACGTTACAAGGTCCCAAAACCTTTTTTTAATATCAAAGAAAAACAACAACAGTTCAACTTCAGTTAAAGCTATAAAAACTTTTTAGAAAGAACGAAAGAAAGTAGATAAATCAGTAGTTTATAAAGTATTAAACAAGGCGATCAGAAAACCTACCTCAACCATTAAAGTTTAATATTTAGAAACAGTTCTCGTTTTGTAAAATTTTAAAAGTATTTAGGAATTTTTTTAAGTGCAGCGAGTGTCCCAGCGGAAAAGATTCAGAGTTATTTCAAACATACTGTAAGACTACTTTGAGACTTCTATTGGACTTATCGAATAAAATGCGCCACTCAGAGGGAATAGCATTACAACAAACGAGAATCCCCTCTTTTCATAAAAACTAAGTGAATTCCTTCCCTCGGTGCCTGTAACATGAGAAATGTCCCAGGTGTGATTGTGGTTTCTTAACAACAAAAAAATCTGAGCTAGATTCATCTTGGGGTGGTAATATAGTTTTGTCCTCCGAATCACTCTGTGATTTCATCAAAACTGGAAGGGCGGAGAAGAACTAGTATTTCAGATCCATGAGACTCTTGACGAATAGCTGAATTAAGGTTTGAGGTTTTCCTTTTTGTTTAAAGGCCTTTCACTTCTACCAACTAAAATAACGCCCAGTTGTGTAATTTCGCTGTTCACACCACCCCATAGGAATGCTAAAGGAACAATATGAGTTTTTCTTACCCTTAACCGCAAATAAAGATCCTCACCTCCTGCAGGGTTTATCTTGGTTCCCAAATTTCAAATTGAGATAAGATACACTTTCTTCAAGAAATTACTTATGTTTCTTTGACGACTTTTAACTATGTACTCACCACAAATAGTTCAAAGGTTGTCCAGGGGAATAACTCAACCTCTTGGAGTCATAGTACAGAGCTAAAACACAAGCACAAGAACGTTTAATGCAAAACGTAAACTGAGTGCCTTATGCATCAAGCACTTATTTAGCATGTCTGCAGGCTTGTTTACACTCATTCCTACTGCTCTCTAAACCGAGATTCCTCATCTTTCGCTTCAAACAAAGTAAACGTGTAGGAACATGATCGCCTGAGCTCCCACCTTGTAAAACACACCCTACTTCCCTTCCACAGCTCCTCCATCCCGCCCATTTATTTGTATTTTTTTTTAGATTCACTCATGATCTTAGAATAAGAAAGAGGATACCAGGTTAAATGTTGAAAAGGAAATTCACGCAAAATTAAACTAAAAATGTGAATTTTGCAAAAAAAATTGACCTGTATAACTTTTTTATTATTTTTCCAATTTTAGTGATTAAAAATTCATAAGAAACAGTAAAAAAATCCTATGGAGTTTATGATTGCAGAACTGTGTCATTAACCAACATAATTATCAGATTTTCATATACTTCTTTTGATTCCGTTATAAAATAGGTCATTAAAAGACTAATGTACATGTGATAAAACATAATTTCCTTTAAAAAAAATATCGTCAAGGTTCCACACATTATTTTAACTTATAAAGTATGAAATACGTTTAATTCTCTATTTTTACAATTTTTTGAGCCTCGCATAAGGGATTAGAAGCCTCAACAATGAAGATGGAGGTTCACATAAAAATGCCAATAAAATTTTATCCCTTTGCCCTTTCTGGGGCATTTAATTATTATGCACTACTGTTTATTGTTGTAATAAGCAAATATTACGGACACTGCTTGCAACCAATACTCTACCATCTAGTTTGACTTTCAGCGGCGGAGACGCACGTGGTTGCCTTGTGGGGCCCGTCGAGGTGTTCTACTTTTAGATAACTGTTAGTGGGTTAGTATTTAGAGTGGGTGTGAGTTTCTAGTCATGACAAGAGCGAGATGCCTCTCATCTCTCAGACAGCTTTTACCCGCTCGTCATTTGAAATCACTTCACAATTGTCTAAATGACAAGAGGGTTTTTCATATGAATTCTCCTTTAACTTTCTTTAAAGGCCTCTTTTCACGGTTCTTTTGCTCCAATTCTCAAGCTACTGAACTTCAAAAAGAAGGAAAAGTAGATTTAAATCTTTTATTAAGGTTAAAGAAGGAAACCCTTTTACCCATAAGGTTATTTATATATTTAAAATTTCTCTGTGTAATTTATTACGTATTTACGCTTGCCATATTTAAGTTTATGTCGTCACGCTCTATCTCAGTTTAACAGCAATTATAATTCAGCAAAAAATTGGCTTATTCTTAACTCGCATGAAATAGGTCTGTTTTACATTTTTATTTTACACAATCCTGATATCACATAAGGCTTATTTTTTAGGCAAAATAAAAGTTTCGAAAGTAGAAAACCGACCCGCTCGAGAAGGGAGAATCCATATTTGTATAACGGATAGATACGCTGTTATGATAGAGGTTTAATTTCCATTTCTTTTTCTTTAAAGAAAAATTTTGACGTATATATTGCTCAGATGAGTTGCGAGTCTGATTTTGTTAGTAAGAACTCTTTATTTATAAATTTGACTTCGAGTATTGCCACTTCTCTAGTGGACAAATTGCATGGTCTCTTGCATTATCCATAAATGTAATTACCTTATTTTACGTTGTTTAACTTAGAGGGTCAATGCAACGATCTCGAAACAATAAAAACCTCTCCCGAAATTTCTCGGGCAATCTCAGAAGCTGTTTTGAAGTTAGGAGAAAAAATTGTTATAAAACGAGCGATTAAAATGGGACGGCTTTAAGCTAACAGGCTATATAAGGAATTAATTTTTTTCACAACTGTAGGACATAGAAGAAGGGGAGATGGCCGGTTACTATCTTCACGAAGGAAAACTGGGAGCGGTCGTTGTATATCGGCAGGTGTCTTTCACTTCTTCTCTATGTTGTCTTGGTGCGGTCTTAAATCGATTCAAGGATGGCCAGCGAGAAAAAAGGTACCGCGTGCGGATCGGAAGGCATCTGGCCTCCCACGTGATTGGACTGAAGCCTCGAACAGTAGAAGAGTTGCACTCGCAGCCGTTCCTACACGATAAGTATTCCGATTTACAGACTCCTACTTCCCACGTAGAGCCTTCCGCCCTTTTGAACTTTCTTAACGTGGTGGACAGGGCGGGCCCTTTCATGTATTCCATAGTCACTCTTATCCTATAGAGTCTCCTAAAAATTCCAAAAACAGTTAGTCATCTGCTTGCCTACAAACTAACAGCCTTTATTGCTCTAAAGATTGTTCTATTAAATGTTCAAGTTATATTAGAAGAATTGGACGACCAAATTCGAAATAGTAACGAGCTCAGGTCCGGGTATATACCTCCACACTATAAGTATTGGTACTTGAAAGTTAGTGAAGACGGGGTAATAGAGCTCGTGCAAAAACATAATCTATTACGGACGAAGGGCTCTGAGCAAGCGAGTTAGTAGACAGTTCTTTTTTTTTGGCACTTGTTTAGAAAAATTTACCTTTTGGGAAGCTTAGAAGAGGGCCCACCTTGACCGTTGCTTAAGCAGAGCTATTCTTAGCTTGAGATTTTGTGCTCTAAACTCTTTAAAGCGGTATAAAAACGTTAAAGAACTTTTTTTTAGTTACTTGTGTTGAAGCAAACTCAGTATCTTGTTTATATTGTGTATTCCTAAGAAAATACCGGTTTTAATTGTTACTGTAATAAATATTATTACTACTTTCACGTCTCATCTTGTGGGAGGGTAACTTCTTCCCGTCCATATCGCGCTAGTTTTGCGTTATTTATGATATTTATTTTTATGTGATAGAAGACCTACCAAACGGTACTTCGAAAAATTGTTACTATGAAGAATCTTTTAGCTCAATATTAAAAAATTTATTCTGGCTTACTTTTCTTTTGATGCTTCTTTGATAATATCACACGTTTATAATTTTTATTTTTATTATCTTTTAAAAGCAAGTTAACCGTTAAGGAATTTCTTGATTTAGAAAAAATTAAAGTTCAAGATTTTATGAGGTTACTTTTTTATTTGAAGTTATTTTGTTGTTTAAGTTAAAATATACTCTATTCTGAGTAAGCTACGCCTTCGTGAATTTTTGCTTTTGCTTTATATATATATGTATACTAGATATGTAGAAATACCTTCTATAACAATTGACTATTTATGGAAGATTATAATTTATATTTTGAATAGGTCAAATTTATTTAATAAAAAAATTTACTTGGTTCAAAAAATCTACTAGTTTTTAAAACGATATTAAAATATTTTATCGGATATTGATAAGATCTGCTACCTTAAAAGTTGATTTTTTTTGTTTAGTATAAATTTTTTAAATTTAAAATTATTAACCTTGTTTTGTTCTCTTTTTTTTTTCTGACTATTCATATATGTATATATCAATTTAAAGTTTCTAATAATATAGATTTTTTTTGCTTTTAAAGTTTTACTAACAAACTAATAGAATTTCTTGCGGCGAAGAGCTGAAAATAACAGAAGACAAAAAATTTTAATAAAGTTCACTTTAGGGAAATCTAAGTTGTATCTTCAGTTTAATGTCTTTGAAACATAAGTTTGCCTTGGAAATTTTGCAGGGCTAAAATTAGTTCGGTAAGTTATACTAAGAAACCAGTCAGATGCACAAGACAACGAATTTTTGGCTCAGGTACACTGGCATGTTGAAGGGTTTTGAGAAAACAATCCATTAGTGTGTGTAGAGTTACAAATTCATTGCAGCCACCTGAAGACCAACTTGTTCTCATAAAGAAGCAATTGTTTATAAAGGTGAAGGGTACTAGTTTACCTGCGAATCTGGGTTTGAAGTTTGGTATATTGCAGTTCGAAAGAACAACAAAACTTTTATCGACTCTTACTTCTTAAAAAGTTTATACTTACACATTGGTAGTGAACTATTTTGATGCCTCTCGCAGCGTTTGCTTATATATGTGCTTAAAAAAATTTTAAATCTTGTGAACTAAAAGTATTTAAAACGTACCCTGTGTAAAATAACAGCTAACAAACACCCTCTTTTAATTTAAGAACACAGCGGTTGCCAGGTAAAAAAGCTAAAAGAGCCTATCTTCCTTCTGGTTTGTGGCATTGCATATGTTGGTCTTAATTGATTTAAGTCGTTTAATTTACACGCCAAACCTTTAAATCGCCGAGCAACAACGACATTTCAAACCTGTTATAGCAGATGAGGCTTCTTAGGTCTTTGAAGAAGGGGCCCCCTTTCTCAAGTTACCTCAGGAATTCATCCTATTGGGGATCCGAGTGGTCGAAGTTGAGCGGCTGGTAGCATTTGACTCGAGAACTCAGGACCGTAAGGTCGATTGGCCTTCAAAGCGACTTATTTTTTTGTTCTTTGATGGGTTGCGTAGTTAAATTTCGCCCTCCTAAGTTCTAATGCCCTCTCCAGCCTGACAACGTTATAAACAACATACTATAATACAGCCACCGATGCTTGCCAAACCGAAAACATTTAAAAAGCTTAATGTTACTAACCCTAGAGATATACACAACTTCGGAAGGACGTTTCACCTCTAGTTGATATATTTTACTAACGAAACAACTATACTTATGTCTGCCTAACTCCAGGTATAAGAGTTCAAATACGAAACAGTTTGCAGAAGGAAAGGGAAAGCATTTGAGAAGAAACCTGGTAAAAACTGTAGTGAATAACCAGTTAGGAAATATTATATATGGAAAATTTATCTGCTCATAAACTCCAGTGCAAAAGTTTGCAAGCCCTAGAAAAACTGTTTATAGGTAAAAAAGCGATGATAAATTTTAAAGTCCAGCTTCTGTTATAGCTTGAAAGCGTGACCTTATTGCCTTAGTAGGAAAGTTCTTGGCGTAGAAAAAGAAAGATGTATTTAATATTTTTAAAACCTTTTTTTATGTAAAATTCCAAATTTAATTAATATTATTTACTAATTATACGTTATTGAAACGAAATACTTTAATGTTATACTAAAAATAAGCATTAAGACATCTACATTGTTCTCATTTTTAGTGCAATGCACTTAACAAACCAACTTTTCTTTAAAAGTGGTTGTAAACCTCATTTTTACTACGGATTTGGTCCATATCCTTATTTACATACATATTACTAATTACATATATTCGCGTAGTTCTTACGATTTAACTATAGCTCCTTATTTATACAATAAAAGGAAAGCAGGAATAGGGCTCCTATATTAAATTACTCCGCCCTACACCCGACAAATAAAATCCCCGGGGTGGGTAGGCCGTGTTAAGGTTTTTTTATACGCTACTCACATTCGCATATAATTATCATGGTTGTAACTAGCATAATGGGATCTTGCGCGTTAAGTGCATGCTATCTTTAAATCAAACTTTTAATTAAGTACGCATTAATATGGAACTCCCCATTAGAGCTCATTTAACTAAAAATGCACATAGTTAACACACACTCTCTTTTTTTTACTATCGAACTATTCAAAATAGTAAAAATAATATTTTGTAATAGCCTATGTCATGGTGGCTCTCTACAATTCCTATTATTTAGCAATTTTCGATTTTTCTTCGTGCCTAAAATATCCTTGATGTCCCCTAAAAATTCTAGGAACTTTGATAGCTCGTCTTCAGTTGGTATCTCCATACTAGCTGCCACCCTGCCCCACCAGTTTCTACCCTTTAACCCTACAAAAGTTTTTGCATGAAATTCTTCTCCAATTCACTTGTCTTCTTTATTAAACAATGCATGAACGTACATTTTAGACCAAGACTGTTAGGGTCTTCAAACCTTTAAGTTTTTTGAAATTAATTGTAAACTAATGTATATATATAGTGGAGACGTACAGACGTGACTAAAACAAAAAAAGCACTGAAAAAAATTAACACGACTGCCGTTTATTTTTCGTGAATCTACATTATATAGTAACAACTAAGCGATGAAATAATCTAAATAATAAAAATTGCCTAAAATGGTAATTTGCGTTAAAACTTATGAACTGGCTCTTTCCCTCAATACAGATGACCCAGAGCTCGGACATGGTTTCGGCTAATTATTTTTGTTTTCTTAACCTTATTTTTATGTCTCGGTAAAATTTTCCCTTCATATCCAAAAACTTCAAATTCTCATCCAAAATTTCTAGCAACCTAGCAGGCCCTCCAATTTTCGCCTTTTAATCCGCTTTGCAGAAATTCGATGTGCACGTGATTGCCTACAGTAACACCATCTTTTTTAACGGCCCCCTTACCGTATTGCTTTTCATTATCCTTTCAATTCAGTCATTTGTCTGACCTCCCACCTCCCTTTCAATTTATAATGTTATCGTCAGATGTGTCCCCACGTCTTTGTGATAATACCAGAAGTTATCATTACCCTCGCTTGATATCATAAATATAGGAGTGACACCCAACACTTTGGGAATTCTTCAATGTTTGTAAATTTAATCATCTTCTAAAGCAGTCCATTCTATTTCTCTTTCGCTACTAGGCTTTAACAACGCTTTTTTGATAGTTTGTATTGTCCGTTCCTACAGACCATTAGACCGATGGTAGTCAGTGGTAATGTAATGCTTCTTCAACTCCGTACCCGTTAAAGAAGTCATTAGTTCATTACTTATAAAAACAGATTGCCGTTCTAAAGTTATCTGTTTTGGTACCACTGAAAAGTCGAAAGCTTTTATGGCCAATTTCTATAACCAAAGTCTTGCTAGTAAGTTTAATGTAATCCATGTTTATTTGTGCGCCATGCCACCGCTAAGGCTTCCCTGTCGGTGACACTATACTTTTCTTGGCATCACTAAACTTAGAATTGACAAAAGCTCTGTAATGCAATCGTCCATCGTACTTTTAAAATACTCCCCCCCCCCTTCCCCTCCCCTCCCATACCAACATTGCTCGCAAATGTTTGTAAAATTAACTCGTAAGTACTATTTACGTGCTCCAAGCACAATCTTTTCTCTAAGAGCCGTAATATGATCCCCCATGAAGTTTCTTGTTCACTGTTCCATTTAATTTTTGCTTTTTTTTAGGGCTCAGTTACAAATGCATTGTTGGGTACATAATGAAAAAAAGTCAATGCTTGTGTAAAACTTATTAACTCCTTATTTTTCGGTGTCGGCATATGTTTAAACGCCTGAACTTTATCCTCACTCATCCTTACACCTGCATTCGTAAGCTCTCTTCCTAACCATTTAACTGAAGATCTCGCAAAACAACTCTTTTCAAATCTAATTTTAACGTTAATTTTTCATACCTTTTAATTAGGCCACACAGCCTTTCATAGTGTTCCACTTTGGAATTGCTAGCCACTAAGCAATCGTCAACTTAAACATATGTATCTATAAGGCCAGTCATTATAAAAAATCCATACTTTTCTGGTATTCGCAAGGTGCATTGACATAACCAAAAAAGGTATCACAGTCTATTGCACCCTCCTACCTTCCGGGGTAGTAAAGGCAAAATATTTTCTTGATGGATGCATCTCTCTTTGATAAAATCCTTTAGCATTATCTAAGGTGCTAAATATTTTTTTACCTCACCGAAATATTAGTACACCTGTCATTTATCCTTGTAAAGCAGCACACATTCTCATGACTTCCTCGGTGTTTGCCGAATTTCTTCTGGGGTAGCATCTTTAACAGTTGACTTTTCCACCACAACTAGCACGCGATTCCATGACATGTTAAATGTTTCCTCTAAGCCTCCCGCTTTTAATAGCTTCTCGCACGCCCGCATAATGACCTTGACCCTTATTTTATCCTTAATTCCTATTTAGACCAGGCCAGCGAAGAGTTTTTCTTTAATTTTAACTTGCAACGGTGCCAGTTTCATACCACTTTTAACTTCGGAGTTCCACTTATATTGTATATCCTCCGGTCAAAAATTTAAATAACTTTTATTTTAATTCTTTCGCATTCTCAAGCTCATTAGCTCTCGCTCTACATCTTCTAAGCCCATTTTGGCTGTTTACCCTTTCCACATCAAAATTTGCGACCACTAGAACATCTGCCCTTTTACCGAAAAAGACCTCTTCCTTGCTTTCTTCCTCTATGCATCGTTTACCATTACGGTTTGTATCATTTAAGACCCACTATCCGAAACAAAAGACTCTTAAAACGGTATTTTCCTAGTAGTATGCCCAGTCCTGTTCCCTAATGAATTACCCACAACTTTTAACACAATATCTCGAAAAACGCTATTCAATGACAAGTTAACCGTAACGACACCTAATGAAATACAGGTCCACCTCCAAATACAGAAAAATTATCTTTTTGATAAATAAGTTTACTTATAAGGCCATATTTGTGAAGGGGTTTTTTAGAAATAAATTAAAACTAGAACCAGAATCTAACAAAAATTTGCATTTAACCACTTCTATTTCACCTTTCACCCGCTCAATCTCAAATCCATGCTCCTTCTTTTGAAGTACTTTCTTGGTGTCTTTTTTTTCCTGTAGCGGCCTCGAGAGGATCCTACGTCAACATATGGGCAGCTATCTCATACATTTTTTATTTGAACTGTTGAATCTATGAGGATTTTTGTTTGCAGGAAAG